CAATGAATGACGTTGGGGACTGGATACGACATGCAGGGCGGGGGCCGCTTGGCAGCACTGGTCCCTCCACAGATAGAACACCAGGCAGTAAGTATGAAATAATACGCACAATCAAATTTGCATAATGCCCTGAAGGATTTGTAGGTCAGGGGTTAATCGATCGGAATGCAAATAGCAATCTCCTTAAGAAAAAAAAGAGGGTTTTTTGTTTTGAACATTTCGTCTTGCTCTGAGCTAAAACAGGATGTCAACGTAGACTGCATTACAATGATTAATTGATATTGTTTTTAATTTCACAACAAAACAGAAGTGGCTTGGAAGGCCCATGAAATTAATGTTACTTGGGATCATATTTTGGGCAATTTTCTGCACCTTTGAAAGTATAAATAACATTTGACAACCCTTTTCAGTAAATTTCTTTAATCAAAAAGTGCACTTTTCTAGACTTTAAAAAATGTCCATGCTTTTCCTGACAAATGAAGGCGCTCAGGCTGTGATGTCATTTCAGAAAGACACTGTTCAATTAAGGGTTTATTTTGTTCAACATGTGGGCCCATAATATGCCTATTGAGGTCATTGCTTAGAAAACTTTGCTCATTGGCTAACAATCATGTACTGGTGACAGCAATGAATCACGAAAGAAAAGACTATTTACAACGGCAAGTTATTCACAATTCTGGCCAATGTTGGTGCTGAAATAGCTGTAACAATGTCCTTTCTGCCTCAAATGACATCACACTTTTGATCTCGAATTTTGCAATTTGCATTAGCATAAACAAGGCACAAATATGCCCTTAAAAATTACAAAATGGAAATCGAAATTAGGGTTAAATTCTTTCTAGTAAAATCCATTCCTAGAAAGAGAATATACGTCTAACAAATATGATATATATTCAACTTATACCCGAGGATTATTCTGGTTACATTTCAAAAATGTGTGGATATACTTCCAAACACTGTGTTGATTCAAAATCTCATAAAAACTTTCGAATCTACCAGACTTTGATAAAATTATACTCCCTTACCTGAAAAAGAAATATGATGCCTACAGTCATCCAGCATCACATTACATGAACAAAGCTTTCGACACATGAGTTTGATGAAACAAAGATGAGCAGAAATAAACAGAGAAACGTAATGATTTGGTTTTGTGTTCAAAGAGTCCGGGAGATTATCAAACTTGCACGTTCTAATTAAGTATTTTGTGGTTGTTTTGTATGTGTAGCTTCAACCAGATACTACTGCTACTCTTACGGTGGGCCTGACTGGAACACCAATGCCATATTGATCAGTCCTGTTGTTCAGCCAACGGGTATACCAGGATTCAGATGGCGGTTTAGTTTCTGGTATAATATGTATGGGAACTACATTGGTAAGTCTTTGGCAATTAAAAAATATATATATATCGCGATCGAAGATTGGCACTGTTATTACATTTATCTTAGAAATGGTTATGAAACCTAGGGTCTGTCAGTCCACGCCCGTGGTATGAAGCTTCGAACTTAAAATATCTATAGGTAATTTAGTTGCGCCGAAATGGCAGCATCGAGCTGTATAAATTTACTCTGGACTCCAAGGAGCTTAGCTGGTCTTTAGAATGTTTCATGACCGGCTTAGGCACATTTTTTTCAGAGGCAATGTGTAGCGCCTTCAGCACCAACAGAACGTGCAAGTCTTGTCAGTTCACTTCCATTTTTTTCATTGTGGAAATCCCGGTCCAAACGCTAACTTGTTCAGTCACATGCACAGGCATCCATGTTAGAATTTACCGACTTTTTAAAATATTTATCATAATGACTAAATCGGTACGGCGTCCAAAATTTATTCAGTTGGAAGTGAAAGAAACTTATTTTTCATTTACTTTTTTGTATATAATTCTCTTTGGCATTCAGGCACCTTCGAAGTGCGGAAGATACCAATCAATGGACAGTTCAACCAAGGCGAGCATATCTTTCATAGAAGAGGTCCAGAAACCAGACGTGATGAATGGCGTGAGTTTGAGATGAGCATCCCAGATGAGGCTCCCGGTTTCAGAATTGCCTTCGAGGTTGTACGACGATCGAGCTCCTACTGGCGGTATCGAGGAGACATCTCCATCGATGATATATCACTTACAGGTTGGATGCATTGAAAACGCAGCTTCGACCCCAGGGTGACGAGCAGTACGTTCCCACCTGCTCTCTCACCCTGGTATTTGATCATTTGTATGTGCACTTTTTTTTGGATACCTGTGCTTTACATCAGCGTTTGCTTTTTTATGTGGTGTCTGGGGTAAACACATAATCAATTCGTCGCTTCGTCAGTTACGGAAATACAATTTATTTTCAAAGTTCAAATGTTACAATCTCATCCAGCCAATAAGCAGTATATCCATATTAATATGAGCAAATTGGGTAAAAAAAGATTATTTTTGAGGTGTGGACGTAATAATGACAATGAACTTGAAAACACGTTGAAAAATAACACCACCAAATACACAAATAAAATCCATTATCCTGCTAGTTGCACTATTCAATCAGGATACAGGAAACATGTTCAAATACCAGGGCTTACTATTGGAAACGAGGTTGAAAGTAAAGTAAGCCCTGGGGACGAGGTTGTTGAAAATGATGGGATCGTGTGCACAAGTAAACCCTAGCGCTAGAAATAAAGATTGGCTGCTGTATTTCCCAACAATTCTCCCCTGCAGTCCGTTTGGCAATGCTCAGTATTCTTATTTTTCCATTAACCCTAAAAGGGCCGGGGGTGGTATCCGCCCCCCTCCCCCAATTTTTTTCCGCGATAGCCTTGATTTTTTTTCGCGACCTGATCTGTTATGACTTTTTAGCCTCGAGCCTTGCGCATCTTTTGATACCAAAAACATAAAAATCAGCGCGAAAACTGAATTTTCCCATATACGTCGTGTACACAGAGCAGATTTGCACATATAAATAATTAATTAGCCATAATTCCAAAACCCTTTGACCTATAGTCATTAACTTTCTTGGATATGTTCATGACGATTTGCTTTATGCATGTACAGAGTTTCTAAAATTTTCGTCACTCAATGGCTAGGATCTTAGAGGGGGCGGATCCGCCCCCCCCCCACCCCCGTCTGAGAGCTGGTCAAAATAACCCGGCCCTTTTAGGGTTAATTTTAACCACGATCAGAAAATATAAAGGCAGCCATGTTGGCGTGCTTGCCAATCAATCGACAATTTTACATGTGGAGTGCCGTGGCCTAATGGTGTTTGGAGCATTACATTTGTGGTCTGCGGGTAATTCTGCAGGTTATTGGTCGAGTCCAGCTCGGGGTTATGGCGCGTGTTCCCTTGAACAATGCGCTTAGTCACTCATTGCTTCTCCCCACCCAGGAGTAAATGAGTAGGGGGCATTGTTGGCGACTGTAAGAGGTTGATTACGGCCAAGAGCGCCGAAATGGCTGCCTACCGGCCGTGTATACCCTCCAGACCGTTGAGAAGGTTTCAGGAGCGTTTGTCCATTGAAACAGGAAAAATAATATTTGTAAAGCGCTTTGATACCCCGTTGTGGCGTAAGCGCTATATAAATGCCTGCTAGCATTATTAGTACTATTATCCAGCTTCAATCAACAAAAGAAACACAGTGATTGGATTTGTTTTGATGCTGAAATTTAAATCTGATTGAAGAAGCCGAAATGATATTTTATTTAGGAATCTATATCTTATTAATGATCTCATTAACCCAGACATTAACGCCTTTGCAACATCATGTTACCGCATCATGTTGAACATCAGGCGAATGGACAGAATTCCAAACAAAACTACATGTATCTACAACCTGACCAACACAGTCCCTCTTGAAGTTCAGCGAAGAACCCGCCAGCTGAAATTCCTGGAGCATGTTCTGCGCATGCCCGACGATCAGCCGGCGAAGGTTTATGCACTGTACACTCTCAAGGGAGGTCTTACCTGGAAAGTTCAGACAAAAAACCCTCTTTATTATACAAGCTTCAGTTTTTGTTTGCATTATTCTTGAGATTTGAAGGTTTGCATGGTGGAAAGATACTAAGACAAGATAAGTTTGCGGTAGCACCATGTGAATAAATCTCTTTTGTGAGTATGTGTGGTTCTGCATTATTCCTTAGAATATTTTTTTTAACCGAAGGACCATTTTGTTTAGTTAAATTTGATAATGTTTGGTACGGATGTGCCGCGATTATAACACATCAAGGTATAACATTAGTACGAATGCTTGTAAATAACTTTACATGGCAGATATGAAGCTATTAAACTGGACAGATAAAATCGGTGATTTCAATACAAAAAAAATGTTTGTGTGTATCACTATACGGACATACAGAAACAGATGTACAACTGGCCGCCTTGCGGCTTACTCCGCCCGCCCGTGGCAACCCAATATCACACGGTACAACCAACGGAGAGACCACGGTGGCTCACGTTACACGGCAAAAAAAAACACCAGGTAGAACTGTTATCGGCAATGGAGACCACGCATCTAATTCTGTCTCAGGCAGTGATACTAATAATTAAGCTCTTGAAAATTAAACCTTTGGTTTATTAAACCTTCGATATAATTCTTCAAGTACCTGCTCACACATGTTTTGTTAACCTTCGGGTTGTACATCTATTCTATTAGTTTTTTTGGCTCACTTTGTTTGTGTTTTAACCAGGGCTCCGAGGAAGAACAGTTTTTTGACAACTGATACCGTAGTAGAATAAAAACAACAAATAACAATTCTTAAAAGTTACAATCATTATTACTTCTCCGAAAACCTCATATACAAAACGTCATCATAAATGCCCACTTTATGGTCATAACAGTGCAGGGAAAAGCAACGTCATTTTACGTAGCGTTCACCTGAAGACGAATTCGTTGTTCAGACTGATCTCAAAAGGCTTCAATGTTGAAGATTGTTCAGAAGACCAGGACAGGACTTCCAATATTGAAAATCGTTTTGAAGCACATCAGGTAAATACCGCATGGTAAATAAAAAAAGCCTGGCCGACAGCGAACATTATATTCAAGATATATCCAGAGCCTTCTTTGAGACCATGAGGGTTACCTGCAACCGGACCAAATTACATCCTTAGCCCAGGATCACAGCAACTGGAGGAAACTTGTGGTCGCCTGCTCCGCAGCCGAATGAATGATGATGAACCCACACAGGAGATCTGTCAAGTGGTGCAACCGTTCAACCTATATATCTTCACCACACTTGTTATAACCCTTCTTCACTTCTTGTTGTTTACATACACACTTTCCGGTGGTAGAAATCATGTCAAATCGATTTAATTTTATTTCCTTTAGGAGGTTACGGTTTTAGTTGCACCTTTGAGGAAGGTCTGTGTGGCTGGTATCATTCAACGGAAGGTAACACTGATTGGAAGCGCCATCAAGGACCCACACCTACGTCTTACACCGGTCCTGCATTTGACAGAACTATAGGGGGTGAGTTGAGTAGTACTGGTCAGCTGTACTGCAATAATGATGGTACGGCAGAAAGGTGATGGGATTGTGCCTTTGATGATACAAGCATGGAATTTGGCACACAGTCAGAGTATATCACGAGAAAGATATTTAGTAATAGCAGATGTGTCCTCTGAAAAATTAATGCGTAGAATAACAAGCAATGACAGCCATTTTCTGAAACTTGCTTGTTATTCTACCTATACTTTGTTCAAAAGACAAAATTGCTTGTTATTTTACCTGCATTTTTCTACATATATATTTATTTCAAACGGCAAATCTGCGATGGCCCTTTAACAAAACATGTTTTTTTTTCATGACATACTCTTACTGTGTGCCAAATTCCATGCTTGTGTCATCAAAGCCACAATTTCCCCAAATATTTCCCCTATCTGCCCCACTGTGAAGATTCAAAGGGCAGTCACATACAAGAACCTTATTGAGTTTGGTAGAAACAATTGAAGGGCGACCAATGTACCGAATGCGAATAGCGCCCTTCTATCGTGTCCGTCGTAAATGATCTCAAAAAGGTAATTATGCCAACAGTTTACACTTACAAAGAAAAGGAGTTGGATTTGCAGTGGGCGATTATGTGTCGCCCGCCAAGGACAGATAGGCTGGCAACTCAAAAGGCATTCTCCATACATTGTGTATTTTGCTGTACCCCCTGCCATATCAGCCTGTATTTTTTTTACACAATAAAACACTTTTCACCAAATCGAGATAGGCAAATAAGAGCAACAAGTAGGCCTAGTAGATGAGCGATACATAATCGATACGACCAGGTGGCGTTTAAATAGTGAAACCTAACGACTCCCAAACAATGTGTGGTGGACAAATGTTTCCTCCTTTGTTGTTTCCACGCCTCTGGTATTTACAGGTGGGCCAAACCGCCGCTTCAGTTGGAATTTCTTTTGTGATGGCCCAAGTACCAACCGCAGCAAGCCCCGGGAATTTCCTCTATTTGAACACTGCCTCATCTTGAAACGATTCGAGTTTGCAGTGAAAAATAAGGACACACTCCAGATCGCCCAGCAATTGCATCATAAAGAGCACTTCATGCAACGCACTCGACCCTCAATGCAGTATCGTCGGCATTTTAAGTGCTGGCTATCTTCGATTATCTAGTGGGGCAGATGGGAAAATATTTGGGAGAAGTGTGCCTTTGATGACACAAGCATGGAATTTGACACACAGTCAAAATATGTCATGAGAAAACAATATTTGGCTACAAAGCCATCGCAAATTTGACCTTTGAACAATACATAAGTAGAGTAGAAAGCAATTTTCAAATTTTTCAAAATGGCTGTCATCGCTTGTTAATCTACCTATATTTTTTCAAAGGAAAAATTTGCGATGGCCCTATAACCAAATATCTTTCTCATTAAACTGTGTGCCAAATTCCATGCTTGTATCATAAAAGGAACAATCTTATAACTTTTCTGCCGTACTCATCTAGCAACGCCCCAGTTCCAAAAGTAATGTATCATTATTGTTTTAATATTTATCTTGTTGATGTGATCTATTATCAGACCCCAGCGGTGTTTACTACTACTTAGAGGTCGACGGTTATTCTAACAGTCACAAAGCCGTGCTTTTGAGCCCTGTCATAGACCACGAGCAGTCAACACAACACCGTACATGGTGCTTCAGTTTTTGGTACAACATGTACGGGAGCTACATTGGTACGTTGAATTTAAGACACACATCAGTTTCAAAGGAGACGTCTGTAAAATGACGGCCGTTTTCTTTGTTTTATTTCTTGTAAGAGGCGATGGATGAACTTGCAGGTACACCATAGGTGGTGCAAATCTCCTTACCTCTAAACTGTATTAAGAATTTGGGAACTTTTATTGAAATATTTAAAATGTCGATGTTGCTTCTGTCATGGTACAGTCTGGGACCTTAAAATGTTGTGTTCTGTGTAGTGTCATAGAATCGCTGAAAGGATCATGTTTACGGATTTTCGAATCTCATTCCAGTTGCCTTTTACTTATTTATTTGTTGACACCATGCTAGATTGAGCACGGAAGTTGACCGAAGGAAATGATTGTTTGCAAGAAAATGGCTGCACTTCCTCGAAACTCATATGGACCTAAAGTGTGCGTTCGTTTAAAAAATCACGTCCTTTGTTTCTCGATTTTAGCCTATAACTTACAATGGAAGGATTTATTAAAGAAATTGAAACATTTAGTAATTGGAAATGTTTAAATATTTGATGACAAAGGTAAAATTCACAAAAATTTAACCTAACACATTTCGACTGTGCATAGTGGTTTTTCGTAATGTAAAACATGCGGATAGACTAGACAGTGTCTTGTATCAAGACGTTACGATACGACAGCGAACAACCTCTCGTACATTTAACCTTCTTCGTTTCTAGTTAGGGAGTTGTTCCATATTAAATAACGCCTGAATAAATCCCCATCATCTGATTGGTATAGGTAGGTAGGTAATTGAGGATTTATTCAGGCGTTGTATAAAACAAATATTGAATGTTTCATACACGTCCGTACAATGGAAATAATAATTTCATTCGATGACGGATGAAATTTTCTACTCCACACGGCTTCACCTCGTGGAATGGAACATTCCTTCTGTCATCTTATGAAGTTATTCTGAGCAATGTACTCATAAACATTCATGATTTGAATAATGCGGCATGTTTTCATGTTGGTAACAGGAACTCTGTATGTCTACAAGGTGCCCGTCAGTGGGTCACTGCGTGAAGGTGAGGTTATCTTCACGAGAAGCGGTCAGCAAACTGATGAGAGAACGTGGCTTGAAGCTGAGCTGTATATTTCGAATGTGACCTCCGACTTCCGCATTGCAATTGTTGCGAGACATCAGTCGAGACATTACGGTAGTTACAGTAGGGGGGATATCGCAATCGATGACGTACAAGCTAAAGGTACGTGACAGGTTTCCTGGTTCCATTCAGTAATTATATTTGTCTCATGTCTGCTTTGTGATTCCCTCTTGGAGTCATTAACGGTTAACAGCAATAAAAATACAGCATCAGAGACAGAAATACTACATGCATATTAGATAGGGTCACGTAGGAGCAGCAATTTGGAAGCCAAAGGGATGCATCAATTTTAGGATCACCAGCAATATTATTAAGCTTAACATCAACTAGAAACATCAACTAGTAATCAGTACCACCGGCAGCAGCACCAGTACCAGTAGCCCCAGCACCATCAGCCCCAGCACCATCGGCAGCTGCAGTAGCCTCAATGTCAAATGCAGTGGCTGCAGCACATTATTACTCTCTCTCTCTGATCAGCTCTTGCTCCCCAAGAAAGGCATCACTGAAGGCGACATTATCAACACTAATTCCCTTCCTCTTTTGCTCAGCACCATGTGCGGACTGCAACTTTGAGAGCAATACCTGTGGATGGAGCCAGTCTACCGAAGACGACACTGACTGGATGTGTCAACAGGAGGGACCAACAGAATCAGACGGGACTGGCCCAGAATTCGACAGGACTATAGGTGGTAGGTTGTGCTGAGAAAACAATCATCGTTGACAATACCCGAGGGATGATCTGAAGAAGTTGACACGTACAAGTTTTCTGTGATTTCCTTTTTGACCTGTTTTTAAGCCACGTCACAGACGGCCGCTTTGGCTAAACAAAGAAATCAGTCGAATTAGTAATAAATTGAAGAGGCTTGAGATTTTTCAGACACATGTGTTACAACTGATGATGTATAAATAATGTAGCAAAACTTGACTGATAGTGAAGTACATTCTACTACACTATCGGTACATTTGTGTTACATTATCGGTTAGTGATACAGTATTGGTCAATTGTTGTTACATTATCGGTTGGTGATACGTTATCCGTGGGGTACTACAGTTATAACTCACCTGCCTGCAATTAAACATGAAGAATCTGAGAGAAACGCGTCATGGAAAGAAATTCATCGTACAGTTCTTTAATTCGAATTATAGGCCCTTTTTACATGGACAATCTCATCCCTAACGATGATAATATTGAAACATATAAGTTTTACAAGTCTTCAATTGTACCCGGTACCAGGTACCGGGTAGGAAGGGTGCAGAATGTTGTAATAACATTTCACCGGTTGGCGAGTTTAGAGCGACGTTGTTATCCGTGTAAACCTGGCCGACAAAAGTTTTGCAAATGCATATCTTGGATGATTTGTTTTTATACGATATATATTCACAGGTCGAACAGGCCATTACTGCTACCTCGAAGCAAGTAGTCCACGCAGTGCCGGGGACAATGCCGTACTTCTAAGCGGCACATTCGAGTACAATCCAGACTACCCTGGCCTAACGTGGTTTATCAACTTCTGGTACAACATGCACGGAAACACGATAGGTATGTACGATAAGCAATGTCACAGTGTGGGGGTGTCCTTTGTTATTCTTTGACCTAATGATGCACTTTTAATTAATAGGAAAATGAATTAAAACGACAGCCCTCCAATATTATTATTTTCAAAATCAAAATGCAACACACATTCACTCTTTGTCAGAGTATAGTTATTTGTTGAAACTAGGGGCAACCACAATCAAACTTGCACTGTTTTTCGAAATGTATCCGCATGTCCTTGTCAAGTTTCATTCCGAAAATTAGAATTGTAGTTCCCAAATATTATTTTTCAAAGTAATATAACGTTTATTCACTTTTGATGGAGTCATCGAACGAAAACAATTCACTGGACGTTTAGTTATTGAATAATTTCTTCTCAAAACTCGAATTATTGGCTGCCAGGCAATGATTCGGTTTTCGCAGGGCGGGTTCATTTGTGCAGAAAAAGGCAGCCATTTTCAAAGGGTTGCTGACGCCCAAAATCGGAATAAAGCAGTTTTTCAGAACAAAACATTCAAATTCAAAATTCGTTAGGAGGAAAATAACATATTTTTTAAGAGCACGGGGTATGCACCTTTAATTATTCTTAACTAAAATACAGAGACACGGGTGGGGATTCGTCGCCAGAAGAAATGTCCGACCCGCTATCGGCGAAGATTTCTTCCAAAATGTGTGCACTTTCATCTACTTCAACGATGGCATATGGATGACTTGACCAAGCAAACCCACGCGCGCGTTTCTTGCCAACCAATCAGAAATGGCTGCCAAAAGTGAGGAACTTTACTGGTTTGTGTCGGCGATGCTCAGTGGTATTATAAAGGGACAACTTGACTCTTGGTTTTTGGTCAATTCTTCTTCTAAATACTCCGCGTGGGAGTTCTAACAGGAGGCCAGAAAGACTCCACAACTATTTTGTGTACCCAAAAGACTCTACAGTATCGAACTGGGAGACAACATTAAGCAAATCTGGTACAGTGGGGTTGAAAGTGTTAATGTTCACAATAGTTTTGACTTAAAAACCCCTGTCCTAAATATGCATTAAAAACATGTGCTTGTTACACATTAGGACTATAGTAACAGCCAAATGCGTGCTGTCATTATCTCATGATCGAATTATCATGCCCTCCAGAACATTACAAATTTTAATTTTAATTTATGTAAAACTTCAAACTCATATAGGAACTCTAAACGTCTACCAGATTCCTGTGAACGGAACGCTGGGTGAAGCAAACCGTATTTTCTCAAGAGCTGGCGAGCAGACCAACGGAACAACGTGGCTTCCCGCTGAGATAAATATAACAGACATAACTTGGAGTTTCAGCTTAGCGATCGAGGCCGTACGGGGGAGCGACTATCAGGGAGACATTGCAATCGATGACATCACCACAAACAGTCAGGGTGAGAAAGCCTTGTTTATAAAGCTGACTGGGTGTAAGAGGCAACGGAATAAAAAAACAACTCTTGCATGCTTATGTCAGACAACTGTGTCAGGGTCAAGGTTATATTAACAATATGCTACAGTTGTGAGGTTTTTACCTCCACCAAGGAGATTATGTTTTCATCGGATTTTGTTTAAGAACAGTATAGATGTAAATGTAACCAATGAAGAATAAAGCATTTACCTTTTAAAAATCAGATACAATCAATGGCATGCTAAGGCGACATTACCACCTCTCCCATCTAGTAAACCACTTGCATAGTGTATTGGTGGTAAAGGTGTCTGAAAGAAATTCATTGTTTTTGTAATGTTCATCTAGTGCTTCCGACGAGCATGAATTTGTCGGACTCCAACGCACACTACTCTACCGGTGACACGTCCTACCTCGTGAACGGAACAAACCATCGCTTCAAATGCTTGGTACCAGACATTAACCCGGGGGCATCATTCATTTGGACGTTGGCCGGTCAGGTGATACCACAGGACACAACTACCCACACCGGGAAGCCTAACTTTTTAACTACAAGTACCAGCTACGCTACATTGTCAGTGGACTGGTCCATGCATGGGGAATCACTGAAGTGTCACGCGTCAAGCCACGATGGCCATTCTGGCGTGGAGGTTACAATATACCTCGATGTTCAAGGCAAGTGTATGGATTGGTATGCAATAGCCTACATTTATGTCTTAATTAATGTATTGAATTTGACGGTAATAAACAATAAAGAAGCGGCAATATTTGCACACATCTACAAATACTGGCTGCTTACTGAAATATGCACCTTATTAGGCGCAGAAGATTTTCCAACTCTTCTGTGAAGAGGAGGATAAGTAGACCTGCCTTTCACAGAGACACTCCCACCGAATTGCAGTCTGTGGAATTATCATCAACTTCTTGTTTCTGTTGCTAACAATATTGTAACGGCATTCTGCATTTATAGAAAAAAACAGGAAATTTCTACTCGGTTTACAGGTGATAAATGTGATAAGACCTGTTAAGTTATGCTGGACCACGGTGATGGACCAAGGGCATATACACTCAGCTGTCACTGACTGATGTTCATCAATTTTTGGTTAGGAAAAAGTCTTCATGCGAAATGATTAGAAATGTTGCCAATTGGCGAGCAACGTTGGTTTCAGAGCTATTGTTTGATTGTAACCGATTCAGACCTTGTGACATGAGATTGCATTTTATTTTCAATAGTTCCTCCAGTTGCATCTTCCTTGTCGCTTTATGATTCTACGGGGACCATTCTCGGACCCACTGCAGATGTCATCCATGGTATTCCACACACTTTTTCCTGTGAGGCACTTGGAACCAGACCGGCACCAATCATAGAGTGGTACCTTGACGACACCTTGCAGCACACTTCCTACCCAACCGATGAAGCAGATGCCGGATTGGTCAATACCACAGCAACTTGGACATTTGCTCCTAACTGGGCCAATCACGTTGAGGTTGTGAAGTGTGTTGCAAGAACTGCAGCTTCACGTGACCCATACCCATCAATTTCGGTTACGCTTGCTGTTTTTGGTATGTAAATGCATCTAGACATACTACAATAATCTTATATAGCCTGAAAAAAAATCACTTCAATTTGAAGCTGCTCGTCTTATCAATTTGATTTTTTGATTCTTGTTCCCTGTCCTGAAAGTATAATTATATTTATGACATAATGTTTCTTATGGGCAGGTTCAACCAACCCTTCCCGATTTCCAGATAAGACAATAACTTACATCTGTATGTGAGGTCTGCATGCACTTCAATGTGAGCGTACTTGATTATGCAGATTCTTATATTCCTACATGATTCTACTGCTTATTCTTTGTCCCATAGCCTACCCTGCGACCATCACCTTATCAGATTCAACTGGGAACTTTCAATCTACCGGTGGCACGGCATATATCGTGGAGGGGCTGGAACACCAGTTTACCTGTGTCGTGCCGAACATCGACCCAGGCGCTTCCTTCGCGTGGACGATCGGTGACCAACACATCACAGCCAACACGAACAATCATGACACTGGTACCCACGGACTGACCACCAGTACGAGTGTTGCTCATGTGGTACCTACGGGAGCCTATAACGGACTGGTGTTGAAATGCAAGGCATCGAATGAGGATGGACATCCGGGTATTTCCATCAGTATCACGCTTGATGTTAGAGGTAGGACTCACTTCATGGCATCTGCAATAATTGAGTCTTTAACTCTGGCTATGGGTTGCAGCAAACCGTCTATTTCCATATAACCGCAAGTTGAAGCGACAACTGTTGTTAACCAAAGGTCGTCTCTTTGTGGTCGAGGCGGCACTGGCTGACTTTAGTTTGATTAGTCTAGTCAGTTTCGACTAGTCTAATCAACCCGGTTACAGTAGTCGCGCTCATCATAAGGACCAAGAAGGAGCCTGTTCCAAGAAGTTTGATGGTGACGTTTTTACCATCGTTCAACTAGAGAGGTTTGTACATTGGTACGCCGACGTGAAATACGTCAAAACTCCTCCAATAGTCAACCAACGGTCCCCGATCTACATTGCTCTTGTTAAAATCACCCGTAGGATGAGTTTGGAGGGTGTTTGGGCCCTCACGCGCATGCGATGGAGTCCTTCGACCTTGCATACCCTTTCAAATCCCTTGAACGATAGTGTCTTATACGGGAGTCACTTTGGGTTGTCTGTTGTTCTCTCTACCAGTGGTACGATCTGCCAGATTCATACAGCCCATTAAAATAGCAAATTAATACATCCTTACGGTCATCATATTGACTTCTGACTTAATCTTTCGCATTTCCTTCTTAGAAAATTTGAGAAGGACCAGATCCTAAATGGGAATTTATATTTATTCAGTCAATCATGCACACGCAGAGTAGCTTGATTAAATAAATCGCACGAATTAAGCAAACTTTGTTTGTTTTTTTGTTTTGTTTTTGTTTTAAAGTACCACCAAAGGTATCGGCCATGTCGCTGCATGACTCCAGTGGACCCATCTTAGGAGAGACAGCCGAGGTATACCAAGGCATAGCAACTACATTCATCTGTGAGATGCTGATTAGACAAACGGCGGTGACAATTAAGTGGTACCTAGACAACATGCTGCAACGCACCGTCGTGCAACCACTTGCTGCAGGCGATGGGTTCGTTAACACCACAGGCAACTGGTCCTTCACGCCGAGTAGAGACAATCAGGGTCAGGAGGTGAGGTGTGAGGCAAGCACAGCAGAGTCACTGCAGCCGTATCCGTCGGTCATGGTTACACTGCACGTCAACGGTAGGTACAAGTGTACTTGTGAAGGCTTCCGATGATTTCCGTTACTTCACTTGTGCCATGTCACAGTTGTGACTTCCTAAACCGTTAACTTAACGTATGTGTGTATATTACTTCGTCAATCGGAAATGCACGTTTACCATGATCTGTCTTTGCTAGACACTCAATTATTCGATATTGTGTTGGTTACGTCCATGGTGAAACCACACAAGAGGCCTGATTAGAAACCCAAAGGAGTTTTGAGTGAAATTAGTAAGTAATTGTCACAGCAACTTTCATTATGATCAATGATTTCTAAGATCTCAATTTAAAGTGAAGATCGTGTCCTTGATTAAAATTCGCAATATGATTTCAAGGGAAAACATACAAAAAACAAGTTGGGTAAAATACTGTTCGGCAAACAACACAAAACCTTGGTATGACTTTACCTCTTTTGGGGATAATTCTTTGAAAAGTTGGTCTGCTCTTTGGAAGAATATGCCCAAACGTTGAGACAATAGGTACGTTGACTAACACACCGACCCATTTGCCTAACTTTCTGTCTTGCCGCAGAAAACAGCCGAACGTGTCTAAAAGCACGTGGCATACAACAAAAATACACATTTTGTGCTAAACGTAGCCACCTAGCACTTGGATTACCATATGATCCTCTATTTAATTTCTACATTCTTTCTCAATGTAGTTCCCCCGACAAGCATCGTGTTATCCGATTTTATCGGAATCTACCCATCCAGTGGAGGTGTGGCGTATCTGGTAGAGGGAGCTGATCGCGAGTTCACCTGCATGGTGCCAGAAATAGACCCGCAGGCCTCATTCAATTGGACAGTGGGAAGTCAGGATATTACTCTAGATTACATCACCAATGTGACCGACGTGGATGGGTTGATGAAAAGCACGAGCGTTGCTACAGTGTCGGTGACTGGATCTAACCATGGCGAGGTACTGATGTGTCTAGCGTGGAATACAGACTTCTTACCCAGCATCAATATCAGTGTGTTGCTGGATGTCAAAGGTAATTAAAGTGACACCAACATTGTGTCCGTTTAAGCAACAAACCACCACAGAATGTGTCCGTTTAATAAGCTCCACCCAATGTCGTGACAGATTTAATGACAACCGCACATGCACGATATTTAAGGCGCGTTGACATGAAAGATGAGTAGGTTTACATTAAAGTTATTATAATAAGAATTAAACGAAGGTACAAAGCGTTGTTATAACATTCTATTTGGTACGCCCTTTCCCACTTAAGCCCCACCGAAGGCTTCCTTGATGGCGATGTATGACTCAAGTGGAAAGAAACTGCATGCTATCGCCTCAGTTAAACCTGCTCCAGTTACATTCACCTGTGAGGTACAGGGTACAAGACCAGGTGCAACTATCGAGTGGTTTCTCGACGATCAGTCGCAGCGCAATGTTAGTGCGCCCTCTGGAGGAGGTGATGGAATAGTCAACACCAACGACACGTGGTCATTCACTCCAAACATAGCCAATCTAGGTCAGGAGGTGAAGTGTGTGGCGAGCACGGCAGAGTCACAGCAACCATTTCCATTTGTAGCCGTGACGCTGGATGTCTTTGGTAAGGCTGATACTAACACATGGAATAATTAAGAATTGTTTAAACACATCAGGGGCACATGCGCTCCGAGAGTGTCCAAAGCGTCATATCACAGCACAGTAGTCAACATCACAGCAGTCAACAATTGTTTTGTTACACCTCTGCCTTGGATTCTTTGGATTTTGATGTAAAAATCACGAAAACAAACAAGAAGTAAACTCAACAATCATTGACAATCGAACGTCAACTCACATGCATGTCGCGTGCTCCAAACAGCTGATCGTCTGCTAGTTCGCTGCTCCCAATCGTGTTTGAAAGCATGGTGAAAATAGCATGGGTTCAAACGATAAATGCGTTTCACACCGTACGTAAAAAGTCAAAGAACACTCCCTGTGTGTACGTTATATCTCATGGGAGTGTGCCATGCATTTTTATATACTTGACACGTAATCGCTCTAGGCAAGTGAAAATACAGCATTTAAGACATAGATATTAGTGGTGCGGTATAGTGACAGCATTGTGCATTGAAAACATTGAACTCGGCATGTATGGTCTTCATACCATGACAAAAACTTCAGATATGGAGGCATTTCACATCTCACCCCTGGTGAGGTTTAAGAGGTCAATGTCATTTGAATACTCTTTATTTATATATTGGTCTTGAAAACCTCACTTTCCTATTACTTAAGTCCATGTAGAGTCTTCATACGATGTAAATAACAACCCAATGCATGAAAAATTTACAATTGACCTCTGATACCTTCCAGAGGTCAGTGACCTTTGTATTAACTCTACTAACTCTATTTATGGTTATTTATACAATTTACCCTTGAAACTCCACTTATTCAAGCCCCAACTCGTAATGTTTTTTTGGTTCATGCTATGAAAAAAATTGCATATGTGGGGAATCTTATATGTTACCTCTAATGGACTTCTAGGGTTGGATGAACTTTGCATATCCTATTTATAGATAATAAGAGAATTAACTATTTAAACCCCCACTTATTTTCTTACCCATGTCTAAATTTAGGGTCTTCTAACCATGCATTTTCAGATATGAAGACATTTCATAATTATTTGATCTCTGATGACCTTTGCAAGGTCGATGAACTTTGTAAACTCTGATTGCCGCTATTTATCATGTTAAATCTTCCAAATGTCTTTTTTGTCATGACCGAAGTCTAATCAGTGCAAAAGGAGGGTATTTCACTGATTATTCTACAGCATGCCATGAAGTTAGACCCCAAAGAGGTTTTTTGCATGACCTCTGATCTCAATTTGCCTTTTTTTTAATGGCAGACGCAATCGCAACAGAATATAAGAGGCACATCGGACAAGCATCACTCTTCAACAGTGACCATTGGGCTTGGTAAAAAGGTTAAAAACGTAGTTATCTAAGTCCATCTGGATACAGCAGGGTGTAGAAAGTACACGAGTGAATAGTGCTTGACATGTACATTTTCCAATACAAAACAGACCAACAAATTTCTATTCCAATCTCATCATACTGCGTTTGCCAATAAAACAAGAAGACACGAGGTCAGAAGTCACCTCAAAATTGTTTGTGGGGTCTGAATTCTTAACATGACCGTAAACTAATATGTGCAATACCGTTCTTTGGCACCATTTAGGCTTGGGTGACGAAAAATGGCGTTTTGACGCATAAATATGATAAATAGCAGCAACTAAAATATACAGATTTCATTGACCTCTCCAAGGGTATCGCAAGGCCAAATTTGATGTCCTCACATGTGAAAATACTTTTCATGGCACAAAGATATCAGTTTTAGACTTGGGTCATGAAAAAAAACGCCAATTTATAACAAAAAATGGCGCACGCGTGTATACAAGATTTGAAACATCGGGTTAGATGGTTGATTAAATGGCAGAGGAAACATGATACTTCAACAAACTACCAATCACTAGCAATACATGTACGAATAGTTGGCAATTCCAAAGAAGTTTAGAGCACATTGGCTATGCGTTTAACATTACTTTATGCGTTAGTGGTTTTAAGGCTGACAATTGGTGATATTATTTTGCAGCTCTTCCAGAAACCATATATCTATCTGACTCGACAACGAACTACACGTCTACTGGTGACACCTCGTACGTAGTGGCGGGTGTCGGTCACCAGTTTACTTGCGAGGTACCAGCCATCAACCCAGGTGCTTCATTTGTATGGACGCTGGGCGGGCAGCACTTCACACCAGATCGTAACATCCACGACGAGGATGACGATGGACTGATTACCAGTACCAGTATAGCGACTGTGGTCGCCGTGGGAAGTAACCACGGTCAAACATTGCAGTGCAGTGCTTCGAACGAGGATGGCGCACCAGGCATTACCACTAGTGTAACACTTCATGTCAAAGGTACATGACTTTTCAACAATACTTTTGACGTATTGGAAGGAATTCATATTTAAGCTTGGGTGCGTGCGAAAACACAAGCGACGTGATTTCGTCTTTCTTATTCAAACTTTCATTGTTGCGTATTTCATTTCAAAATCTGTTCTCCTTGATTTTAAACTTCCGTTGTTTTTATTTGAAGCGAAGTAGTTATTCATTTATCCAATTGACCGAATTAAATTGTCATTTTAGCAACTCGTATCGTGTTAATCAAAATCGTCAGCTATTTTCGTTCTCGTTCTATGTTGAAGTCCCTCCTGTACCATCTGGCATGTCACTGTACGATTTCAGCGGGAACCAGCTCCAGTCCACAGTCAGGGTCGCGGAAGGAACACCAAACAACTTCACTTGTGTGGTGCGAGGAACCAGACCAGCAGCAGATATCTCCTGGTTCATAGGGGATGATGTGCAAGTCTCAGTCGGTCCACCAGTTACAGGGAGTGACAATTTGGTCAACACCTCGGCTACTTTTACCTTCATCCCTAGTCGAGCAGACAATGGTTTGGAGTTAAAGTGCGTGGCAAGCACGCCTGATTCACAGCAACCTTTCCCGTCGGCAAGTGTCTCGCTGGATGTCAGTGGTATGTGTTGTGCCGTGACGTAGGCAATGGCTAGTCACAGACCTCCATATATTAATCTGTATAGCCCATTGGCTGTCAGAAGTGAATTTGCTCTCTTCTACCACTGCAAGAACAATAGATCTGCGGAAATAGATGCTATAATAGACACGAATATTGCACTCGACAAATTCGTATTTTCAAAAAAAAATTCAAAAGGCTACCAAATATATTTTAGTTAAAACACATTAAATACTTTAAGACCACACTATTTCAAGTGTTATGAGCAAAGGGAGTGGTCGAGGCTGGTTCCCTTCCCACGTTTGAATGGAGTAGCTTGGGCTGATATTGCCATCATGTGATTTGAATAAGCACCAGTGACTATAGGTTTAAGACAACCACATTTTTTAAATATGTAAACCAGTACCCTTGACTTCTGACATCCTTTTGATAATCAAGGAAGTCATCATCAATGGATGTATTCATCAGTCAATTTTGATAACTGTGATTTTGTATTGTTCATTGTAGCGCCTCCCACCAACCTTTTCATAGTGGACTCAGCTGGTACCTATTCTTCATCTGGTGGTACAGCATACCTGGTGGAAGGAGAACATCATCGGTTTACATGCGAAGCACGTGACATAGATGTAGATGCATCTTTCACGTGGTTGCTAGGCGGCGGGGAAATCATGCCTGATAACAGCACTGACATCGAGAGCACAGAGGGATGGACCAACCGCACCAGTAGTGTTACGGTGAAAGCTACAGCGAGCCAGCATGGCAAGATGTTACTGTGCAGCGTTTCAAATGAGGATGGCGGTGTTGAAATTAGTACCGGCGTCATGCTGTATGTGAAAGGTCAGATTTTAGGGCTCTGTAACAAACACTGCCTTGGTGTCCACAAAGTATAACACACTGTGACTGTGGCTCATAGATTATAAGACTCTTATGGAACATACTTTTCATGACCAATGTCACTTGTGCTTACTGACCTCTAGAAGAAGATTAGTTGATCCTGAAGAGTCAAAGTTTGCTATCACAGTATTACAGATGGCCCCTTTTTGATGTCGGAAATAGAATGGCCAATTTGTTTGGAATTAAAAAAAAAAAAAGTAGTTACATTATACTCATATTTGTAAAGTTCATTGGACGAAGCAATTTGTTTTTACTATCATCAATACTCCAAAGTTCCACAGCCTAAAAATATACTAGAATCCTTCCAAATCATCGTATTTGTTTTGTTCTCCAGTGCCACCGAAAGCTTCCTCAATGTTGTTATATGACACCGATGGTGCCAGACTCGTTGGTGTTGTTGATGTAGACCAAGGTGTGCCGACGGCCTTTCGATGTGAAACTCAGGGTACCAGACCAGCACCAATGATTGAGTGGTTCCTCAATGATGTCTCGCAAAGGATCAAAAGCCCGCCCTCTGGAGGTGGCGAAGGATTGGTCAACGCGACCGACACGTGGACGTTCACTCCCAACAGAACCAATCACAGACAGGAGGTGAAGTGTGTGGCCAGCACGGCAGAGTCGCAGCAAACTTTGCCGTTTGTTGCAATCACACTAAATGTTAATGGTAATTATTGACATAATTATGTTTACCTTTGAGGATACAACGACAGGGCATTTATTTTAGAAGTAAAGATATGCTCAAAATCTACGACCATCATCAGCGCCATCATCACAATTTATTTTAATTAAACACTTTTGTATAGCACAGGCCTTCCGCAATCTTTCTCTTTTCTCTTTCTAACTAACATCATCAATTAACTGATATTAGCGTTAATGAATTTGCAGTTACATCTGTTAACGCAGCCGGGCTATCGTGTTGCGTGGGGGCTGTCAGATCGCACGGTCCCAGGACTTCCCACAACCATTCAAACAACCTATAGCTTTTGACATGCTTGGCCCCTAGCATGGCGATGATAAGGTTGTCTGAACAAAGTGAACATACTTTTATATAACACTAACTTGTTTTTATTTAGGTCCACCAGACACACCTAGGATCATCGGCAGCTTTTCAATGATTGAGGATACCCCGGTCTACCTGGAATGCCAAGCGTCAATGGGCTTCCCATCCGACTGGTCGCTGCATTGGTTCAACGGAGATTACTCTTTGCCTAGTTACACAAGTTATTCAATGCTGCAGGACAATCGCTACACGCTCACAACATCCTTACTGTTCACACCAACAAGAGATAATAACAGAGACACCATTCGGTGCGTAGCGCAAAGAGATGAGTGGCCCACCAGTCCAGAAAGCTCCGTTGGCCCCTTAGATGTCCAATGTAAGTTGTTAGATGTATTTTAGTAGTTAACCTGGTATTTTTTTATATCGGGATGACACAGCTGGAAGGAAGCGAAAGAGAAGGTTATTTGCACAGTGGTGCTTATGCAGCTTATTGTCTTTGCAGATACAGACGTGCTAAATCTGATAACCTAAAAAAGACTTCACTGTAGATTCTTGTTGGTAATTTGCAAGCAAATCAGCCTTGTCGTGTATTATCCTTAAAACTGCCTTAATGAAAATGCACGTACTTTATCCAGTTTGTACTAGGATGGTCAGCATGACCGGCTGCCCGCGCAGAGTAGTATCAGGCGGTGCTGTCTCACTCAGCTGTGTCACTGAGAGTACAAACCCAGCTACAAATCTGACTTGGACGAGAGACGATGCCGAGCTGACCAATCGTCCTCATCTAGTGATAGCTGATGGCGACTACAGTGGTCAAGTCACGACACTGGAATTTGCGACAGATGCACTCACTAGGACAGACAATGGAGCTGTTTACATGTGTTGTGCGACCCGTGAAAGATGCAGTGATGTCTGCGAAAGTTGTGCTCTAAATGTTCAATGTAAGAGGGGATTATTGAGTTGCTTTCATGACGAAATTCCACCCTCATCCACTTTTAGTTTAAAGATTATTGTACGAGAATCAAAGTGTAGATTCAAAATGTAAGACATGTAAACAATAACTGGTTATAAACAAAAGCGTTGGCGATGGATGAACTATGAAACAATTGTCTTGTCATTATTAATGATCTGAATTAATAGCCAAAAGGGTATGATTACCAACTGAAAAAAACTGATGCATTTAACCCGAAAAAAATTAATAAAGCAAAGTACGCCTTTTAATCGGCGGAGTTAAATTTATATTTTGCTTGCAGACCATCCGTATTTTTCTGAGCCAACTGCCAGTCCACCTGGCGCTGTTGAGGAGGGTGCGAACGTCAGCTTGTCGTGCAGCGCAGACGCAAACCCGGAGCCCCCTGACTTCATCGCTTGGGAAAAAGTCAGATCTGCTGACTCCCTTTCCTCTGTCTACAGCGATGGGTCAAGCACTCTGACATTACGCAGCGTTAGCAGGGAGCAGGCAGGGCCGTATCGGTGCCTCGGGAACAACGGCATACCGCCAGTAGTGTATTCCAACCAGATCAATGTTGCAGTACACTGTAAGTTACTTTATCATTGTATTGATGACAAGCGTTTTTCAAGTTAAGTAAGGCACTTATCCCGTGTTGATAAACTTGTGTTGAACTGGGGGGTGGTCTGGCTCAAGGCAATAGGGAATATTGAACGCAAAGGTAAAATTCAGTACAATGGAACGGTGCCACTCCAGCAAAAGTTATATAAGTAATGATCTACCCGGTGAAATTCCCATGTATATAAAAAACAATTGTTGTGACATACGGCTTTTTTTTCTCTCCCCTTTTGTAAAGATGGAGTAAACATCACAAACAAGGGAACTGACAACCTCGTCGAATCCAGCGTTGGAGAAAATGCCCTCATGGTTTGTGTAGTCAAAGGAAACCCCCTCCCTTTAATAACATGGACAGGTCCATCGGGAGCTGTAATAAACAATCAGACAGATCCTGGCCGGATCTTTCAGGTCAATACACTCACTGGCGGGGATGATGTGTACGGTAAAACGGTTAGGAGCATCTTGCACATAACCAGAGTGACTGGTGAGGGAGACTACGGCTATTACTCTTGTAACAGCGGGAATAGCATCGGCATGGTGGACACTTTGAGAATTCAACTGATTAAAAGAGGTGAGATTATTTCACATCAAGCAGGCATCAAGTCAAATATGCGAAGAAAACACAATTGTGCATGGATGAGAAGAAGTAGCGCATGTTGCCTTGTTGAAGTGTGATTAAGATAGGGGAAAGAGAAATGATCATCAAAGTGACTGAATCCCATGATAATACCTGTAGAAAATTATCAAGGATGCAATGGAGCGTCCAGCTATATAGAAGATGTTTTGAGAGGGGCCCGCTCGCAGTAAGTTTGCATGTTTTTGTTGCTGATTCAAAAAAGAGAGGAAAGACACGACCTTAATCCAAAATACGATTGACATTCATAACAAAAGATATTGTTGCATTCCTTAGGTTGCCAAACAAAGAGCCAATATAAACGGTTGTACAGTTGCTCTCTAGAAACAAAGTCACTCAAATACAGAACTACAGATGTTAGACTCTTGGTGCAGACATAGCATCCGCCGGAGGTGTAGTATCACATAGTTGTTTCCCTCCTTCTCTTTTCAATATCAACTAAAAAAAGGTATCGCTACAACGTTGTCAACTGTGGTCGACGTAACCACAACTACTGCGCCCCAAGTTGACGTTGAAACAACTAAACCATCAGTTGGAGTCAGTTCGACAAACTTACCAACTACAGTAGCTCCTACTACGGCTTCACCTGTTGTAACAACTGCCATGGTGCCAGTCACTTCAACTGCTGCAGCACCATGTAAGCACACATGTTATTTAGCTAAAGGTATTTTTATCAAATATAGTGTTGGAAAATATTTGTTTTTCTTGGTATTTTGTCTATGTTGGACATTGGCATTGTATGAGGGTACAGTCTTCCGTTTTATTCTGTTCCACGAGGTTGAAAGCAATCACATTGCTTCTCATGTTTTAACTATTTGAGTCAAGCTGTATAAACCCTCGTTTGAGTAAATAAAATCAACTCATTTATAATTATAATCAAGATATCACTTTGATACATTGGAACAGCTGACAAAAATGTAATGTGATGACGGCGTATCAATCTTGAGAAGACAACCTTAACGAAACAGCATAAACCAAGCGTCATGTATAATTATCTGTGGCATATATTGTTGTTACCATAGCTCAGCCATCGCCGCCACAACAAGTGTCGAGCGATCAGAACCGAACGTCACATGACTCCATTACAGTCACATGGATCCCTGGGAACGATGGAGGAAGCCCTCAATGGTTCTACGTCAATTATCGCGATTTTCTTTCTATGACCGACTTCGACCCCAGCACACGGAGCGACAAACTCCACGACGTCACCGAGTACACCCTTGTCGGTTTGCGTCCCTTCACTGTCTACGAGATCGAGGTTTATGCAGAGAACGCCATTGGCGCGAGTCAAACTGTCACTCGCTTCACTGCAACACTTCGTAAGTGTGCTACGCTAAGTTTTTAAAATCCTTTCATTTTTGTTTCGAAAGTGCAAACGTTTTCAAATGTTCATAACGTTTAATTATATGGTCCACTCGACGATGAAGCTTATCCAGATTAATTTAGTGTTTTCGGCGGCAAAATACACAAAACAATATGAAATCAATCTCGGAAAATTGATTGGTTCCGTCAGATCTGCATCGGTTGAAAATATTGTTCTAATGCTGCACAACATACATTGTTGCAATGCTGCTTTTGAACTGTACACAGTGCGACTGAGGTGGAGGCTATCAGGTTGGAACTTTTCGAATGGCACAACAAACTTTCCACTGTCAAATGTAACCAGCAGGGCTTTTGTGTTACGTGTAAGTGTGAATATGGCGCACAAAAATATTAATACACCTGTGTACATGTCGCAACATAAAATGGAACGAACAACATCGTTGAAGATGGAATAACAGCTCAGATCCTGTGCCATCGGATAACTGGGAGCTTCCCAAAAAAATTAGGTTTTAGTCTAAATTTGTAATTGTGTGAAGTCAGCCAACTCGCTTGTGTTAAAAAGTTATCAGGTGCGCGAAAGACCCCTCACAAGGTTACAGGGCCCGTATAGATAGGTGCGCCCCAATCGCACCGACCTCTACAAGTATGGTTCCATGTGTGGAAGCCTCTACGGTACCTATTACAAAAGGTTACCTTTTGGCAATACATTACAAGCTCATTTTCAACTATAAAACGGCAGAGCAAAATAGTCCCCTGTTTATAATTGTGAAACAAACTTCCACGTTCAGAAAAGTCAGTTGTAATTGAAATGTCCTTAATTGGAACATCGACTGCATAGATCAGAAGAGGCAACAATGAATGAAGACCTTTTGAAGAGTGATTAAGGTAAAGAATAGTGAGCATCAACGTCAGTACATCCCGTGATAAAATCTGAAGAAAAAAACTCAAGGAGGAACCGTACAGTTGGGAGAAGTTTACTCCTTGTTGCTGGATTTGTAGAATGGAGGAAAACCAAGACCCAAATCTAAACACAAATTTTGCACCGGTGGCACAGTTGCATTCCATAGAATGCCACATAGTTACAGCGATCCACTATGCTATCTAGAAGTCATTACTTTCCCTCAACCGAAACAAACTTGAACTCACAAATACTACGTACAACTGACAGAGTCTATAAGGAGTTAGCATCCGCCGCAGGTGTAGTTTCACATAGTTTTTATCTGTCTCTTTCTCTTTTCAATATCAACTAAAGGTGTCGCTACAACACTGGCAACCGTGGTCGACATAACTACGACCCTTCCTGGTCTTATCGACTCAACAACTGCACCCCCAGTTGACGTTAAAACAACTACACCATCAGTTGGAGTCGGTTCAACAGCAACCTTACCAACTACAGCAGCTCCTACTACGGCTTCACCTGTTGAAGTTGTTACAAGTAACACGATGCCAGTTAGTTCAACAGCTGCACCACCATGTAAGCATACGTATTATTGGATTATTAAGGTATCTTTATCAAACAGATATTCTTTGAACGCATATTTTTTCTTTGAACTTGGTTTTTCTTGGACCATTGGCCTTACATTAATAAGGGTACGTTTTTCCATTTTTTGGGCAAAATAATGGTATAGCTATGACATTGATTGTCAGGTTTTTACTATTTCAGTCAAGCTGTGAAACAATCCTCGATCAAGTTAAATCATCATTATATCCAAAATATCACTTTGATTACAATGGTACACCTGATGACGGCAAATCAATATTGGAAAATGAGGGAAGGCAGCATATAAAACATGAAACAATGCGTCATGCACATTTGTTGCATATTTGTTTTATTACCGTATAGCTCAGCCATCGCCGCCTCAACAAGTGTCGAGCGATCAGAACCGAACGTCACATGACTCCATTACAGTCACATGGATCCCTGGGAACGATGGAGGGAGCCCTCAATGGTTCTACGTCAATTATCGCGATTTTCTTTCTATGACCGACTTCGACCCCAGCACACGGAGCAACAGACTCCATGGCGTCACCGAGTACACCCTTGTCGGTTTGCGTCCCTTCACTGTCTACGAGATCGAGGTTTATGCAGAGAACGCCATTGGCGCCAGTGAACCTGTCACATTCTCTACTGCAACTCTTCGTAAGTGTGCTGGGTTACATTTCTTTCGAAAGTGCATTCGTTTTAAAATGTTTGAAAACATTGAAGGCCCAGCTTCTTGTTACAAAAAGAGTGGTTCACTCCGAGGAGAAGCTGATCACGTTTATTTTACTATTTTTCACGGACAATTAAGTTGTAGGCCTAAACAAAACAAGAGTACATCAACCTCCAAAATAATTTGGTCGCGTCTGCTTGAATTAAACAAAACATTTAATATTGTACAAAATATGCCTTCTTCTACAGTGTGTACCAAAAAAGGCAAACAAAATAGGGAATGCCAGACGTAGAATGTTTAGTTAAGTTAGATAATATACACATTTCCACTTTAATATGAGACATCAAACGTTCAAATCTGATAATGTTAGACAGAGTTAAGAGTAATTTTGCAAGTTTAGCGAGTGAACACATTTCTAAACGCATTCTTGCTATCAGTTTGCAAACATGCCATACTAAACATTTCCACACAGAGGCACATATCCACACAGAGGCAATTAGCCTACCTTTGTCCCAATGCCTAAAATAGAAAAATTGGTCCCGTGGTCAATTTGACCTCTCTTTGAAAAGTACTCATAACTCTGTCGACAATTATCAGATTTGGACGTTTGATGTCTCATTTTAAAGTGGAAGTATTAGGTCTTTCAAACCATACCTTTTATTATTTATGTTGGTTATACATACAACGTCCGGCATTTTGTTTGCATTCTGTTGATAGACACTATATAGTGCTGCGTTAAAATGTACACATGCAGTATAGAGACTATCAGGCCGGAATTGTACAAACATTGTCCAAGGTCAATGGTAGCCAGCAGGGCTCTCGTATTACATGGAGTGTGAATATGACGCACGAAAATACGAATGTACACAACCCAATTTGATGCTCGAGAAACAGAAACATAAGACGAGTAGAACAACATCATTTATCGAGGAAATACAGCACATTGATTAAATGTAATGCACACTCACCGCCACTATGAAACGCCGTGAAACTTTCCCAGGTCGAGTGCCACTTTTTGTTCGAACGTCCACACGGGGCAAACTCAGCCAACTCTGCTGTGTGTGTAACGGTCTTGCCATATAATATTGCCCTGCTAAAGGCTGACTATAAGTCTCCCTCAAGAAAAGGGAGAAGGTCAAGGGGTTATCCAGACAGCTGATAATTCAACTTGACAACAGTCCATCTCTTTTATTTCACCTCCAAAAACACACGTTTCTCCTGTCCTGTCTCCTGTCAAACGACCAACACTTACTATTCGCTGCACGTAGGCACATACCTCTCATGAATGCCTGTCTCCCAACCACATCAATGTATACAATGTAGCAACTTACACGCGCGCCTCGCACAATCATCCTACAATGACCCCAGATATCATGAGAATAAAAAGACTATCTATGACAATGACCCCTGCCAGCCTACGCTGCCCAGGCGCACGATCTGTTTTTAAATTTAAAACTCTGTTATACGATAATAATTTTACCTTGTAGCTTGTACACAGCAATAACCAATAAGGTTAAATAATCCGATGGCTCGGTTAGGTTCGATAGTCCGAATGACAATAAGGTTTGATAGTCCCAATTTACAGCATTGAAAATTGTTGTCATTCGGACTATCGAACCATGTGTGCTTTCGGAATAATGAACCTTCGGACTATAACACACCTTCGGACTATTGCCTCAAATGTTCAGATTAACGAACCTTCATTTTCGGACCAATGAACCCCCGGCTATGGGAAATGGGTGCGTTCGGACTATTGAACCTTACGATCAATAAACTTTCGGACTATCAAACCTTCGGACCGTAGGCGGAGTCCCCCGGCGGACTTCGAAAATTGATGTGGATAAAATAAGTGGAACCTAGTGTTGCCTTCCAACAAAACAAAGGAAAGATATTGACGCGCTTTTTCAGTATTTTGTGAATTTAAGCGTGTACTTCAGACCAATACAGTTCAATTTCTCCCTTTCAGAAAAACCGACAGGGAGCACACCGTGTGCGTCATGTGCGGTAGAGACCACTACCGCGACGGGCGAAAAGGTGCAGCCTACTGCAGCATCACCTGGAGACAAAACAACAGCCGTTAAAACTGGCGGAAATGTACCATCCACTTCGGTACCAGTTGGGGATAAAACAACTGCTGTTAAAGTTGGCGAGACTTCCGCATCGCCAGGTGCGTATGAAAATGAATGTTGTAGCTCGATCTGTGCTTGCATGTGATGTGAAATAAACTCATTTGTACTTCGTTTCCCATTTTCTAATTCGTGTCACAAAATGTATTTGAGTAAACGACAAATCGCTATTTTCCTGACATAATAAGGAAGTTAGTTTTTTTTCTTCAAATTATGATTCGTTTCAGGGCGTGGTGAGGGTGTAGGTCAACCGCAAGGCATCTCGGCACTCATCGCCATTATCGTGATTCTGGCGATAATTGCACTGATTAGCATCGTTGTGGCAGTTGTACTCTACCGAAAACGTAGGGCGGCAAACCATGAACTAGGTAGGAAAATAAGGTGCATCTCAGCAGATATACTTCTGATGCCAGTTAGCTATAGTACGGCGAGCACCTTAGATGTCTACATGGAGGGGCCATGTTTTCATATTGAATTTCACTTTTTTTTCCACATCACTCGGCAATTTCACATTTAAAGGGGGGGGGGCGCAACATACATTCAGGATATAAATGCTTGATTATAATGTATGCATGGGTTTGAGTTCCAGTCTTTTATTTAACCTTCATGATTGTTTTTCCTCCCTGCAGAACTTCCAAACAAAGCCAAGAAAAAGTAAGTATTCAACGTGGCGGATGCACCATTGCTTAAAGCCTTATTTGGGAGGTGGTTCTGAGTGACGCGAACCACGTATACAGGATCCAGTGTATGCGGAGGGGCCGCCCGCCCCCCCCCCCCCTCCCCGGCAGTGACCGAAATTTTCTTAAATAAGACCATTTTTCACTTGAGATAGCCTATCTGCCCCCCAGAACGCCCTATAGTCTATGTAATAGACCATGGCGAAATAAACATTTGAGCAGATTCGCTGATTAATTATGCAAGACAGCCGCATCTTGACCTGTAGATTTTGACCAGGCAACGGGCGCTTTCTCTATCGGGTCTTCGGTCATTCACCGTTGTCGCGTCATAGACATGGATACAAAAAAATATATACACAGCAATAAAGGCTGTGTCACGCGCTCTGTATTATGTTACGCGATACGCGCCCGGCTGTTGTTGTATTACAAAACACTGCATCCCAACTGACCAATCAAACGTTTTGTCCTGATTTGGGAATGAGATGACACGATGTTACGATTGAGTCGATGTTACGATTAAAGTTGACTCCGATTGGCTGAGGCGCAAGATCGCATAAATCTGCATGCTTTGACATATCATGCCACGTTATGCAGGAGACTTGGCTCCGTGGATAATGGGTGATACTCAGACTAGGGACACCCGCCCCTAGCCTTTAGTCAAGGCGCGCGTGTCTACCTGGACGCGTGGCACCCCTGATTCTGGCACGAAAAAAAGACCAGTGCGAGTGGCGAAGCCACGCTTCGCCGCTCGTGCTAGTCTTTTTACGTGCCATCATTCGGGGTGCGTCAAGTGTCCGGGTAAGCGCGCTGGACTTTAACCCCGCCCCCGGCTACCCCGCCCCCGGCAGTAACCTAGCTCTCTGGATCCGACCTTCCCATGTGTCTCTGTAGCTCTAAGTATGAATAAAGACAGTAATTGTGCTTTAATACCAGTCCCGATTATAAACACATATTGTTGGAAATTGTTATATATTGGTGAACATCGCAAATATTAATCAAAGTACTGTTTTGTTTACTTTATGATAATGATTTCTTGTTGCTGTACTCTGCAGGAAAGGGAGAGGCAAACGAGACGAGGAAAATAACAGTGTTGTCACCGAGACGGTGGAATTTAGCGACCTGGGTGAGAGACAGAGAAAATAATGACAGTAAAGTAGTAATTACCGATAATGGGTCACTTGGGAGACATTCCCATAGTCTTGTGCACAATGTTTTTTTTCCTGACTTTAAGCTGACATAACCCCAATTTTACCTTGATTATATACCCCCACGAATGTTGCCTCTAAATAGGAGTTGCGACATTAGGGACACAATGAAATGTCTCCCTAATGTCCGGTGTCTCCCTACGGTATAATGTACTTCGACAAAAAGCCTCATTAAGGGTACATTAACAGATGTAACAGTATACACTGTGACTTTTGCGGTTATTTTTACATAATCATTATATGCCCAGTTTGCTTAAAAAGAAATTTCTTGATTTCTTGATTTCTCTATTTTATTGACCAATTGTAGTTTGAGTACAAATTTATCTCGTGTTTTATCTTTCATAATATTAAAGCCAGGATCTTTTCATTTCTGTTCTCAGAGCCAGATGAAAACGTTACTTCCTTCGCCTGAGAAGCTGGTGTTGACATGTGGAAACTCTCATCGTGAAAGAGTAGGTGCTTTTCAGCCGGATTTTGCTGTAAGGATCGTAGTCAAGGAGAAACAAAATGGCGTCATTGAAAGGGGCGTCCCTAAACAAATAATGTAATCAACTTATGATATAATTACTAATGATATGTTAATGGTAGTGACAGAGAGTTATTTCTTATTGGTTGTATTGTTCTTTCTGATTCTGTTTATGTTTATGCGGTTTTGGGGTTTTTTTTTTTTCATTTTTGAATATGGGAAGCATTGCACCATGGACCCTTCTCACACTACTGGATGAGTCAAAAGTAACTGGGCCGAATTTAATGATTTGTCCTTTTTTAATATTCCAATCAATTTTGAAACACCCATGAGTAAATTTTAAAAGAGCATGCTCTTCCACTCATCTAAAAAAAAAAGATCTATGCTATCGAAGTTATGGATTTTTTTTAAAAAGAACCCAATTTATAGCCATCCATGGAATGCCATTAGAAGATATTGAGTTGAGTGAGAATTACAGATTTCACGCAACCATTCAAATACCGATGAGATTTGAATCGTTTGAATTAAGACTGAAACATTTTTTTCAGTCAAATTGTGTGTTTTGAATACGCAGAACTTAATCATCTTAGTGTCTGAAATATCAATGGCGATTTTGGTATGTTTTCCTTTGCAAATTTTCCTCTATTCATCGAGGTGGGAAAACGTCCATGCTTCATTGTATGTAATGGGTATTCATCAGTTCGTAGAACGGTAAGTCATCACTGTGGTGGACGGGTAAATTTTGTGATCTTTATTTCAAAATAGATGTAACTTTGGAATAGAGTACGCAAATGACGTGAAAAGTTCACAGTTGCTAGTCAATAACATGCATTTTGTGACTTTTGTTTTAATGAAATGGTGCGAGTCACTTTTTTTTTCTTATTCGGTCAATTTCTTTTTGACTCGCCCTGTATAGTGACATTTTGGTTGTAAATGCAAATGTATATACGATTTATTATCCCAGATGAATAGTGCTGAGAAAGCTATTATGTATAATGGGTTTATTTTAACAATCAATTATGATGGGTTGGGCCTAAATCCTTCGATATTTGTATCGTTTGTAGTGGTTCTATTTGATTTTAACACGAAAATAGTTATTAAAACGCATGGAATGTATGTGAATGTTATTAATATTTTTATACTCATAGGCCCTAAATGCTTTCTATCTTTAAAAACAAATCATTATATCCTATTAGACATGTGCTACACAAATTTATCTACGCAACATATTGTAACATGTCTTTCGGAAAAAAAATGAATTTTTAATACACATAATATTAGGTGTTGCCTTTCCCAGACGTTATTTTATGAGCACTGCTCACGTGAGAACTCGGTTTGGACGTAGGCATAAATATGCTCCGAGTACCCGTGGGTTGGCCGGTCATGGGTTCGATTCCAATCTGGCTAAACTTGGGAATTTATTTTCTCGCAAGCTCTCATATAGCACTTGCGGTGTACATGTTTCCTACGTATATAAAGATTGCTATAGCTTGTAAAATGCTGACTGATGGTGTTGAAGTACTATTATGTAGGCCTAGTTAGTTTGTTTGCTTGCTGGGTTTTTTGGTTTGATTGTTGTGATTTTTTTTGGGGGGGGGCAGATGTAACGCCATTTGTTTTCTTTTAAGTAAGTAGTCTTCCGCTTCTGCAAGTAATTGTATTACAATGCACGCTAAAATGTACCGGGCAGATTTGATCTGATTTTTAACTTGACAGACACTTTGCCGGATCAAAATGAAACATTTCGTGGTCAAAATAATACTACTCTAGTCAACCCGGAAAGAAAATGTCATTTTGACCCACAAAAGTGTCATTTTGACCCGGAAAAGTGTCATTTTGACCTGGAAAAGCTTCAGGTCAAATATGACCCGGATTCCTTATACAGTTTGACCCGGGACATTTTAGAGCGTAATTATTGTCACAGTTGATTTCCACTGATATAATACAAGATGACTGTACACGAAAATGTGAATATGATTTGTATTGCTTCCTTTTTGGGGAGAGGTATATAGCCTATGGGTTCCTTTTTTATTATTATTACCAACAACAGTTTATAAACTGTCATTGGAGAGAGATAAATCAGCAAAAATGATTTGGATTGGTTTTATGATTACATTCTTTTATCGAGCTAAGCTCCTGAACGAATACTTCGACCCCTTTTACTTCGAATAACGTAAGCAACATATACTGCTATGTATTAGTTTTGTTTTTATTTAATATTTGTATTTTGTTTATTTTAATTAGTGGCTTATGATATTGCAATGATTTTTCAGTGGTTTTTCTAATAAATGTCTTGGTTGCAGGTAATTCGTGTGGAAATGTGATAGGTTTAGGCCTATTTTTTTATGGATCTGATCTATCCAATTGCGAAAAAAAATTCGGATAAATCAAAATCTTGTATCGGTTTATGTTTTTTATACGAAATCACCTTTGCCTGTATACAGGCCTTATAATATGAGAAAACGTGCACCGTGTGGAGGTTTAAAACATCTGTTATTGCTGCAGCTTCCAAAAAAACCCACATTCCTGTACAATTTTATTTCACTGTCAAATTACCAAACCTCTTCATTTTAAGCGGATGTTCTTTCCCAGCACTTGTACCCGAGAAATGGCGCCGTTACAGCCCCCTCTTTCGCAACCAAAATCATAATGGGCATATCAAAAAGTGCGCCACCAGAGGTTTAACCGAAGAGATAATTCAAAGATATTATTCGCTCGTAACCACCACCCCTCACCCCCTGCAAACAGGACGCTGGGATACACTGATGAAGTCACGCTCTGATTGGATAGATTTTGCGTGACCTTTGACCTGCAAGTCATCACGGCCACGACCCTGCAAGGTTTTAAACGGTCGTTAAGACTCGAGTCCTCACTCGTTTATTCCCATTCATAAACGTTTTCTTTTTCGTTGAAAAGTGCAATAATGTAGGAAAATCTGTAAAACTTATATTTGTTTGTAAATTTTCAATTTTCGTCACTTGCTCAGGCTCCGTTTCGAATTCACGAAGGGTCAAATTGCATATTTTGCGAGGCTCAAAATGTGTCCACATGGTCCGCAAGGGAAAAGAAATCACATCCGGTATGGGTTGTATGCATTTCTACGAGAAAGTTTTCGGAAAGCATTTCGTCGCTTTGCTCACGAAGTGACAAAAACCTCGAAAATCGATAATTATTCGATTTTGAGTTTTACTGGCCATTTTATTAAAGTTGTCTCAAGGAACAATTTGACCAAGTTTCAAGGCAAAATCTTGTTTACTTTCTTAATTATTCTAAACAAACAATTGACAAAAAGCCTGAAATCGGAAATTTTCATTTTTACGAAATGTAAAAAAGTGTAAAATGTTCTCACGAAGTGACAAAAATTCACCTCGTGAGCAGGGCCGGAGGAATTATACATTGGTTTACACGCGGCGGGATGGGAGCATACACGCGCGTGCGAACGATGTTGAAAAAGAACAGACGCGCGCGTGCTCACCCATCGTATGACGCGCAAAAGTAACAAAATGTCGTCAAAAGTACAAATAAGTAAAGCCTCCGCGATTCATGTTCCCACGAAGTGACAAAGAGTCAGCTCGTGAGCAGGGCCAGAACACAGAAAATAATTATACAATGGTCTACACGCGGCAGGATGGGAGCATACACGCGCGCGCGAACGACGTTGAAAAAGAACACACGCGCCCTCGCTCAACTGTCGTGACGCGCAAAATTAACAAGTTTGTTGCGTCGAAAAAAGTACAAAATAAGTAAAGCCTCCGCGATTCATGATCCCACGAAGTGACAAAAACTGTGTACAAACTAATTGGCAAAATATGGTACCCAAAATATTGCTGTTCTCACGAAGTGCAAACAAGTTTTATTAATGAATTACTGTTTAATTACTAACTATTTCTAATAAACAATTATGAAATAACAAAGAACAAATCATATCCTATCGGACAATGCAAAAACTTCCGAATTCTGTTACTGCAAAGTGGTCGAAAATGTCTTTTGAAAAAATGAATAACTTCAAATGCGATTATCTCAGATTGAACTTTTGTCAAATTTTGAGGTTTTTGTCACTTCGTGAGCAAAGCGACGATTTGCGCCTATTGACTAACTGCGGTCTTAACCCTAAAAAGGGCCAGGTTATTTTGACCATCTCTCAGCCGGGGGGGGGGGGATTCCGACCCCCCCCCCAAGATCTCGGCCATCGAGTGATGAAAAAAAAATGAAAATCGATACATGCATAGAGCAACTCATCATGAACATACCCAAAAACCTTCATGACTATAGGTCAAAGGGTTTTGGAATTATGGCTTATTAATAATACTCGGTCCTTGAAACATAAATACACTCAAGTTAAATGTAAAACCACAGCTCTCCAACACAGCATTCGCTACAGAAAAACTGTGCTAATAGCGAAAAAAAATCAATCCCAATTTGAGTCACTTTTAATTGAACATAAATAAAGCACTCTTTGTGGAGACGATAAATAAAAAAAAACATTGCATTGAATTGAAATTGCGTCCAATAATTGATTGTGATATCCGACACAGTAATTTTGAAAATCGACAGAAACCGTTCGAGAAAAAAAATGAATACAACAAAAACAAAAACTACAGTGTGCAAGGGCGCTCCGGTACAATTCATCAACATCGATTTCTTCCGAAAGAGGGCGCGCTTCACAAATACTGGTCACCACCGTAAAGACTTCTGTCAACGCGGATCACGATCTGCCCAAACGAAGTCGGCTTTAATTGAGCAAAAATAAAATACACTTTGTGGAGACGATAGCTCAAGAAAAACACATTGCACTGAATTGAAATTTCATCCAATAATAATTTTCTAGATATAGGACACACAAATTTGAAAATCGACGGGAACCCTCGAAGAATAAATTTACTATGATTTAAAGAAATACAGTGTACTAATGGCGAAAAATTCAATCCAAATTCAAGTCACTTTTAATTGAACAAAATGAATATAAAAACACGCAGATCACGATATGCCCAAAGGAAGTCTGCTTTAAATTGATCAAAAATAAAATACACTTCGTGGAGACGATAACTCAAGAAAATCACATCGCATTGAATTGAAATTTCGTAAAATAATAAATTGGTCTGGATATAGGACACAACAATTGTGAAAATCGACGGGAACCCTTGGAAAATAAATTTAATATGATTTAAAGAAATACAGTGTACTTTAATCGCGAAAAAATATCAATCCGAATTCGAGTCAATTCTCATTGAACATAAATAAAGCACTCTTTGTGGAGACGTCCAATAATTGATTGTAATTGTCTGGAGTTTTTTTCATCACCATTAAAACTGTAGCGCCCTCTGTATTGCTATGTAAACCATAGCGCCCTCTGTATTGCTATGTAAACCAAACATGCTGAATACACAGTTGTTAGTCAGAATCCTGTCTGGATATGTGTTGTCTTTTCAAGCCTCAAACTTAGATATAAAAAAACACGTAACAGTAATATACTTCACAATAAGTTTGAAAATCAATAGAAACCGTTTAAAGAAAAAAAAAATGAATACAACATAAACAGAAACTACAGTGTGTAAGGGCACTCCCGTATAATTTACCATCATCATTTCTTCCAAAAGAGGGCGGGCTAAACAATACTGGTCACCACACTTTAGATCACGATCTGCCCAAACGAAACCCACAATAATTCATACACTTTGTACACCATGGAAATGAAGATTGGAGAATTGAATACATGGCGCTGAAACTCTGGTCTGGACTTGGAGCTTCCAATTCTGAGCATTTTTGATGCAATCTAGCCCGAAGGTGGCGCTATTTAGCCATGTTGTGAATGAGGGATTAATTTTCAAAATGGATACTTTTCCAGTTTGGGAAACAAAATTCGTTTTAGAGGTGCTCTTCTTTGGCTGAGAATATCTCAAAAAGTCAATGGTCAAACCAACCAAAAATTGCAAAGAAAATGAAAGATGGCATGTTGCTGATCATTTTTCTGTAGATCCTGATCACCTGAGTATTTTTAAAAGAATTGTGAAGAGTGGGCATTTATCATTGGTGTCTGTGGGCATTTTAATACAGGGCTGCACCCTTTTTACGCATGAATACAAGGATTATGAAGTAAGCAGTACTGTCTAAATTCAACGCTACATAAACTGGAAGCTACGAATATATAGGCCTACTTTGTAAATGTGAATTAATTCCTTTTCCCCCAGTTCCTGAAATTACAATTCTTCACAAGTTGTTAGACTAACCTTTCAAGCTGTAGCTTAGATTAAGGTGATTTGAAAAGGATGAAATAAAACAAAACGAAGCAAATCATTCCACTATTTAACAATTGCATGCAAATTACCCTTTCTTTTTTATGGACAAAATCCGAGAAGTTCAATAAAGTTTACGTTTGGCGAGCGCCCTCGCCTTGCCTACGCATGTCGGTGTGTGCACACCCCCAAAATGATTGGCTAAAATTTCGGGACAACGCCTCCAGAACTGACCAATAGTTGTCCTCAACACGTGGGACCTGAGCGTGATAATGCATTATGCATGATGAAGATATGAAGATATAGGTGTAGTGTGAAGCTTGGACTCTATAAAATACGGACTTATTGGTTAATACGCGCATGCCTCAGCGAAGATAATCAGGGACGTGATCGGTCACATGGAGGGTTGGGGTCCATATAAGGTTAAAGGCCAGATTTCATGGGAGTCACAATTCTTTTACACGTAGTGGTTTCCCGTCTCATCGTATATCGTATCGGATGATGTACATCATCCGATTGGGATTGCGAGTTTGTTTTCGATTCCTGAATGATGAATACTGTAAACAAGGTAGAATCGATACTGTCTCTCCACTGCTGGATGTCCTCGGACATTTACAACGAAACGAGAAAAATATATTTTGTGATTGAAAAACCAGATCATTAAAAACAAAAGCAATAAAATCATATAAAAATACATACAGTATTATAATAAAATTATAACACGCCTTTCGCATCCAAAGAATGCGCGCGCCATCAACATTCGTCATTATGTACCATTCATCGCAATTGTTTGTTTTTTTCTGAATAAAAAAGTATTAAACCCGGCGTGTTTACAATCGGATGGTGACTATTTTTCTCTAATAAACCGGGTATCAGATCCCCACACACAATATTTTAGAGCTAGCAGACTTAATTAAAGCAAGTGTCGATTCCCTTTAAGCGTTTCGAAAAAGATAAGAATCGATTTATCGGGGTGGTCTGGCGCTTTCAGACACGACGCGCGACAGACCGGTCGCACACGTACGTACTGTGCGTACGTACGTACGTACGTACATGTACATGTACGTAGTTTTAGTTTTCGTGTATACGTGGACACTACTCGACAATCCATCTGCTGCAATCTTGCAAAGATCAAATCAGTGTCTGATTACATTTAAAGGACTTTGAAGGTGTGTATTTAATGTGATTACGTCTTAAGGATAGGGGCAGTTCGTTGGTTGCGATTATTCGATATGTGTTTTACGTTTACAACCAATTTTCCGACAATGAACATCATTCAACATGTTCAACATGCGATAGGGGCCTGCTATGCCATGTGTGTGTACAGTGTCCGCGTACAGGCGTACGCCCGGTTTATTTCTACTCTACACGTGTTGTTTTTCACTGTCATGCTTCCATGCATGTTGCTCTCACAATGATACTTGGCTGTTTCCTAGAAACCTGCGAAATGTGTGATACTTAAGTAATGCGCCTATCAAATCGTCGCAGACCTGACAAACCGACAAATAAGCGAAAACCTTGTTTCGAGTAATTCACGTTTGAAGTTGGACCTTTTTTCTGGGCGCCGTATTTTACCCATAATGTTTCGATAAAAACCCTTTTAGTGTGTATTCGGAGTAAAATAGGAAACTTAGTATCTATCAGGTCGATTGTTTAATCAGAGAAGTTGTACGATATGATTTTATTTGATCGTAAACGTATTCGTCAGTTTGTCAAATTACATTAATCTCCAATAGCCGGTTGTTCTTCACACCGTTTGTATGCTATTCGTCGGTTTCTCGGATCGCACGTGCACGCGCGCGCCCTCCGACAAACTGACGAATAACCTTTGTTGGTACTTTGAACGCACACCTTACATTAGCTGGTTACCAGCGATTTGCTTGTAGCTATTCGTCAGTTTGTCGGATCGCGCGTGTAGGCGCGCGCCAATCCGACAAACTGGCAAATGACATTCGATGGTACTCTGAGCGCACACCTTACATAAGCTGGTTACCAGCGAAATTTCGTATTCGTCACTATGTCAAATTATGGATTTGTTTTTGTGAGTGATTCGCCACAAGGGGGGCTCTGAATCTCAAAATCCAGACTAAAATTCAGAATTTTGGCATAAATACTTGAAAGAGCAACCTTCATAAACCCTAAAAATATCAAAATCTCGAAATCGCCAAAATGGTCGATTCGCCGGTATGTCAGCTCTGCGACGAAATGTTCCCCCTAGCTCCCCCCCCCCCCTTGCAGCCCCAGGTCTGATGTCGGGATTTGGCCACGTTTTTCATGCCCCAGGGTGGGGATTTTGGTCACTCAAATTACATTTTTACCATTTGCGTGCTACATGGATATGCATTTAGGCCTACTAGGGCACCCCACGTATGTATGTCGGGGCATGATCGGGGATTGTCACTTAAAAGTGGGGATTTTGTCACTTCAAAGTGACAATCGGAATCCCCACGACTTGGGTGGGGCAGCCAGGGGGGGGGGGGGGGAGGGGGGGAACAATTGATAGGCGCATAATGTACTAATGTACGCATGCGCAGAGGAAGTGCCAGCACAAGAACGGAAAAAAAACTGCCGGACTGATTCACAGTGAAATAAATATAAACATGTACAAGTAAATGAATGATGTCTCTGCCCAAAACTCATTGTTTTATTTCACACAGTGAAAAAAAGACTAGACAAAATGGGCTTTCAATATAAAATTTATATGATGGTTATAAAACCACTGATTATTATGGTTCCTCCACAGGTCTGAGTTTATAAAGAGTCGTCCTCCGAAAAGTTTTGTTTCTCTCCACTCCCTGACTGTTTTCCCTGTTTTTTGAGTTCCTGTATCTGAATCGGTCATGTCTGCGGGAAGTAGCAATGACAGCAGCTGGATTGCACCTGACCTGCCCTCGCGTTGCACCTGGCATCTGGAAGTGGATCCCAAGACCAGTCCACATAATCACCAGTCCAACGCGTAAGTACTCCTAACATGCCTGAAGCTTGGGACTATAAGCAGGCACGCATCTGGAGGGGGGTACATTCCCCCCCCCCCCCTTTCCAGCTTTGACTCCATTGTTTTTTTGCCTACATTAAAAAAAATGTGAAATCCCCCCCCCCCCCTCTTGCTCTGACCCCCCCCCCCCCCCCCCCCCAAAAAAAAAACTTAAATAGACTTTACTGGTACCGGTAATAATATCCACCTGTGCACAAAATTCGGCCATACATTGTAGCCAGCTAGGTTATTCGTACGGGGGTATTTTTACACAATATAGTGTTGATGATCATCGGCACCTCATTGAAAGTCTGGTACGAGCTCCCCCCCCCCCCCCCAACCCACCACCACCACCTGTTGATTTTATGGAGGCCAAGTGTCCGGAGACAAAAAAAATCAGTCTAACTTTCAGCATTGATTTGCTGATGAATCAAATTATTGATTCTTACATGTACGTGTACATAAATTATGTATATTTACATACTAGTATGTCAGGTGTTTATTATAATTTGCATTATTTGCTGTGTCTATTTCCCCCTGCAGTTGAATTGTTGCAAAAGAATCACGAAAAACGATGCGTGACGTCATTCCGGTGGGTCTTAGGTCTATTGTGTCTCATGTTTTCTAAGTGTAATAAACTGTACAGGAGGGATCCAAAAAAAAGAGAAACCGACATATTATTGCTATAAATTGGAACAGAAGTAGGGCACATGTGAATCAAAGGGAGATATCCTCTGTTAGGGTTGAATCTCCTCTTTAACTCTTTCAGTGCCAAACTCGTACATGTACGAGGTATATTTGTTAGTCCAATAGCGCCAACCTCGTACATGTACGAGGTAAAGTTCGTAAATGTTCGTACTTAAAATTGCCAAACCTCGTACATGTACGAGGTAGAGTAAATATGTTATCAAAAGGGGGCGCTCTTGCTCTTTCTAATGGTACCATTTTCATGCATGTACGACCTGTATTTATTTTTTCATTCGAGTTCTTGCGAGAGGGCGCAGTACTAAATCTCGTATTTTCTGCAAAAAGTGCGGAATCTCCCTGTGTTCAGGCCAGTGTTTCAGGGTGTATCACTATGTTTGTGACTACTTTTGACTTACCAATATATCAAGGATATACCAGAGAGTAACAACAACAAATTTAGTGAGTAAAACCTATTTACTTTTTTTTTTACAGAATTTTGAACAATTAACATAAACGCTCGAAGTTGGGCGCTTTAGGGTTAAACTTTTCAAATTTCGCGGGCACTGAAAGAGTTAACATGACACCCTGGTCATGTCATTATACTCACGGTTGACTGAGCAGTGACCAATTTTTATGCAAGGGTCTACTTAGAGAATTGCGCCACTTTTCATGGTGAAGTCTCTTTTCCCCCCCCCCCAACTGCTTTGATTGGCAACCATAGCCTTTCGCTCTGTGACAGATGACACCAAAAAAAAACACAATTGAAAAGTGGCGCAATTCTCTAAATACATGTAGACCGTTTCATAAAATTGGTCACTGCTCAGTCAACCGTGCATGTAATGACATGATCAGGATGTCATTTTAAAGAGGAGATTCAACCCTAACAGAGGATATCTCTGTTTCATTCACATGTGCCCTACTTCTGTTCCAATTAGCAATAATATCTCGGTTTCGTTTTTTTTATTATCTCCCCTGTACAGTTTATTACACTTAGAAAACACGAGACACAATAGACTTAAGACCCACCGTAATGACGTCACGCTTTGTTTACATGTATGCGCTTTCCTACCGGTACGAAAGCCAGGTGGGACGTGTCATACATGCATTGCTTTCTTAACATCTCAACGAATCATTTCTTCACATTGTATTTTTCTTATTTTTTTTGGTTCCCCCAGGGAGCTCCTTGAAGCGCGGAAGAAAATCCTGCCCAATGTGCTGAAGATGATTGGCCACACCCCGCTGGTGCGAATCAACAACATCGGGAAAAGCGCTGGGCTGAAATGTGAACTGTGTAAGTGAAATAAGAAGACAATGCACTCAGAAATGATAACCCCGGAACCTCTAGTGAGAAAGTTTAAAGCCACGTCACTAGTGATGTTAGCCTCTCAAGCGATTGTATGATTTTCTTTAAATTCGGGCGATTCACGGTGCAGTGCACCACCAAGAGTTTGCCATGGAGAGTCCATTTTTCAAGTTTACGGTCGACAAAGCGCGGTCCATTTGAATTGAGTGTCAGTAGACAACGTGAGCTAATTTTGTAATAGATTGGGGCATAGCATTCTGCCGACTCATCAAAAAACACCATGTTGATTAAAAGAAAAAAAAGGGGGAACATATATATTCGAATCATACGCTTACGAAACTACTGACCGGAAAAAAACTTAACAATTTCAAATGTCCCGTGCCGCGAATTTTTCGACCTTCTCCCACAATGCACTGGGAAAAATGAACTCTCTGTTGCAAACTCTTGGTGGCGCACTGAATTGTGAATCGCACGAATTGTGTAAAGGTCGGCTTATAGTCGGTTGCACGATGGTTGCGCGACTGAAAAAAATACGCGTACTCATCAAACACATGGTTTATACATGAACATGTTGTTGTCACTGAAGTGCTAACGACTAGTCGTGGAAGGTCGTTTTCTTTCAATGTACAATATTTTATACCTTGTGTGTGTCTAGTACTACTAGATACACACATACACAGCACCGTTCTCACGAACAGCGGTGACAAATCACCAATGCACAAAATGTGATTTCTTACACGTCCGCAAAAGGGAACCCTAATTACGGCTGGAATCACAACTAGCACGAACAGCCCAACTTTTTGGGTTCGCAAAAGTGGACCCCGAAAGTCGTTCTCGCACGAATAACACAAGAATACTACCAAAGCGCCCAATTTTTAAAGGATATATATATCCTACTTTTGTTCTTTCCGATTAACATCATTTCGTTCATAATGCGTGTTGTAGCCCAATTGGGCGTATTCCAGGACGAAGTGTCCCTTTAAGAGTTAGAAGTTTGAGGGCCTGATGGTGCAATTTGGTTTTTGTGCCCCTGTGAAAAATTCAGCTCAGAATGAAATGTCAGGCTCTCTTTAGAACTTTTATGATTCATATATTAACCCTAAAGTCCCTAGGCCTTTTTGCTAGGATGTAGCCTCAATCCTGCAAAATCCTCCAATTGGCCTCATGGAAAAATAGCATATAGCCTCAATCCTGCAAATTCCTCTGTTATTTCTTGAATATGGTCCATGGAGGGGTGACCACTGCCTGAATCCTGCAAAATCCTCCGGCTATGACTGTCAATAGGCTGAGGCAGAGAAAGTGACATCCTGGAGCAGTGCGGAGGATGTCAAGTATAATCAAGGACTAAATTTATGCACGGCTGAGCATAAACAACACAAGGTCCGGCCCAAGACCTTGACACAGTGCGTATTCCGAAATCAGCAACGCACTTTTGCCATGTAACCTCAATCCTGCAAATTCCTCCAATTTGCAAAAAGGATTTTGGAGGATTCAGGGCGGTTAGGGTTAAAAGTCAATCCAGTCAGTAAACTACCGGTGCTTTGCAGCCGCATGTTATTTCTTTATATCTCTAATATTATAAATGCATGCATACCTATTAAAGGGACACTGGGTCCTGGAACATCCACATTGAGCTACAAAACGCACTTTGAACGAGATGATGTTCATCGGAAAAAACATTTAATAGTAGGATATAAACATCCAAACAACTATCCTTTCAAAACTGGGCGTTTTTGTTTTATTCCTGTATTATGCGTGCGAGAACGAATTTCGGGGTCCACTTTTGGGACCCCATAAATTTGAGCTGTTTGGATGCTGGTTGTGATTTCATTCGTAAAGTGTTCGCCTTTTGCGGACGTTGAAGAAACAACTTTTTTGCATTGGTGATTGGTCAAACCGCAAGGGAATGCGGGTATACACGGCACTTGAATTTCTGTTCATTTTTTTTATATGAAAGTCATTATGTAGATATTATGGGCACCATTAGACCTACATGTACCATTCGGTAATTCATGGCATCATTCAATTAGCGAACAATTTTCCATAGTGATATGTTACGACGATCAAGAACATCGGACGGCTCATTGGGCAGATGCAGAGATTGCTTCCTTTAACGTGCGGTCGATCTTGGTAAAAAAAAATTCCCCAAGTTCAAAGTCTAAGTGTGGAGGCCAGTAAGATTTTACCCATTCAGTTTTTACCATCGTCTTGGTTAAATCTTTTAAAAAAAAGGTAAAAAACATGTAAATTGTATACACGTGTACTGTACATGTACGGATATGTACTGGAGTACATTATAAACTGCATTTCATAAAAATAGAAGAATCATGATCGCCAACACCGTAAATGTTCGCGATTATGTACACAATAAATGTCATGCAATACTACCGATACATGTAGCAGCTGGCACCGCTCATTGCCTGGATATTGGCAGGATCCAGTACTGATCTTTTTGTCCTGGCAGTTATTCATAAGTTGACGTCATACTAGCATCCACATTTTGCCAGCTCCCTGGAGCTGCTTGTTAAATGAGAAAAAGGATTATCTGCATCTGTTGGCTTATAATACAATGTAAGTGCAAACTCCATGGATCTACATTGTATACAGCATAGCACCAGGATTAACGACTGTTCTGAGCTCTAGTACAAAATGCACTCAGTGAACTTGCCTTAATTGGTTAGACGCGTGATAACAGGCATTAATACACGTTGGCGCGTAATCGCGAATTTTCCAGATGTGCCATTGTGTTGGGTTTTGTAACAAAATCTAAAACGGAAATATTCATAAAACTGTAAGTAAAACTACTTCTTATGTAAGATATAGCCTAATTGCTCCAAATTATTTTAAAAATAAATACTTCAGGATATAACAGATGGTATTGTGCAGTTTTTGTCGTCATAGATGAAGTATTTACCCGGGAAATAAACGTCAAATTTCGAGGAGAACACCGTTTACCCAAATTTCGTTTTTAATTAGGCTTTTATTAAAAAGTTTTAGAGAGATACATGTAGGATGCCGAACCGATGAAACAAAAGCGACATTTCATTGTTCATCTTAAAGCTAAAGATATTGTGATCGGCATTACCATGGTTATGTAGTTATCAGTTATCAGAATGTTTTGCAAAGCGCACTCTTTTAAACATTTAAATTTGTAAACATGCTTTTCCTGACAACTGAGGACGCTGTTGCTTGTGATGTCACTTTAGGCACACAGTCTTCGGGTTAGCATTTTTCTCTTCAAATTATAAACACAACTTTACTCATTGAAATCATTGGTAGTGCTATACATTTTTCTCATTGTCTCATACTGTCATACTTGTACGAAAACAACAGATGAATCACCTAAAGCAAAATGAAATAACCACAGTAAAACCAACACATTCTGGTAACTTTTTATGCTGAAGCAGATGTAAAAACACTGAAGTTTCTGCCTTGAATGATATCACAGTTTTGCTGTTTGATGCAGAATTTAGCATAAAAACTAAACATGGAACACAGAGGTACATGTAAGCCTAAATATAAAGGATTGCATTTAAAAAAAAATCCATTTCATGGGCCCTTTTAACCTTCAGTCACCTGCAACTTCTATTATTGTACATATTCACTGAGCTACACAATGTATGAAAAAGTCAAGGCATTCTATTCAATTCTACTAAATTTCTAGCTCCATTTAAAGTTCTATTTGACCCCCCCCCCCCCCCCCGAACAACTAAGTACTGTTGAAGTGTGTCAATGTATAGGGCCCCCTTTACACAGGGCTGCGACCTGTGTAAAAACTGCAATTTTCTGGCATTTTCATGTCGAGCTACCGGCCGGTCAATACATGTAGCTCGACATGAGCTATGTGTACTTTGTGGTGTACGGTACTATCAACAAAATCTGCTTCCCTGCATAAAAATTGTTCGTCTGAATTGATTTTAGAAGCCTGCATGTTTGTACACAAATCGATATAAAAAATAACCAACCGCCTCGAAAAAAGTAATCAATGGGTGTCATTTGCAATTTTTGTTTGTTTACAATAATAACACGAGTTACTCAAAATCCAAAGAAGAATGTTCAAAACCTAACCTGTTGAAGTTTCAGTTCGGTGGATAATACGCTTTTCAAGAAAACAGTGAAAAAGCATGCCCAACCTTTTGATAACGAAACACGATTTTGTTTTTTAGAACTCTTTATTTTGAACGATCAGTCAAAAAGACTGATGTTTGGAAATCACCTACTTTTCTTGATTTCTTCTAAATGACACCAAGTCAGATGGAATAATGTCACAGGGTGTTTAATACTAGAATCATCTTCAATCCAAGTAAACTTTTGATGATAATTTGGTCATTTATGTACCTTTGGGATAAATACGGTACAAATGATCCTATGCCCTTACAAGGGCAATGCTGTACCTCGATCAGCATCCCCTCCCCCCTTCTCCTACAATCACACACTCCACTGCATGGAATAGGACGGATCTTGGAACTGCAAGCTCTGTTTTGTCCGTTGCCGGATCCGCTGCTGGTGAAACCACTGCACATCGGGGTGTTCCCTCACTTTCGTCTCAGTCTCCCCCTGAATCCACCTCAGTTCCATCTGATCATCGGTCCCGTTCAGCGTCGCATTGGAGCTGGCGTGCACAAACAGGTAGTGGTTGAGGAGCTCGCCGACTTGGCCGTGATTAAGTAAATCTACCTCTTTGGCAAAGCGGTTGGCGATTTCGTTGTAGTCAGTCCGTTGGACGGTCTTGCGGTGGGATGCGATCCAGAACTTGACCGCCCAGGACAGCGTGGATCGCATGTCTGCGGCCACGGGGCTGGACTGCGCCTTGTCGTCCGCGTTCGTGGCGTACTCCTGCCGGTGGATGTACATGGCGCGCAGCGGCCGCGGGTACATGACCCAGAAAGCGATTAGAACGTGGAAGTGGCGTGGCATGACCTCCTGACCTCCAGAGGTCAGGGTGCACCGGTCCATCTCGATGATTCCGTTGGGGGTGAGTCCGTCCCGGCAGGCAGCGGGTGCATCACCGTGGAGAAGACAAGCGTACCCACAATGCCTTGGGAAACTTCAGCTCCTGACGCACAGTCGGGATAGCGCCACTGTCCTTGCTCTAGTCTTAGTGCGTCCTTGGCACATGGGTCTGTTCTCCTGAAGATTAGGAAGATAAAACAGGGGTGTGAAATCTCAGCTTTAAAGCTGATTTCAGCTTTTTTGGTTTTGGATTTCAGCTTTTTTTCAGCTTTTTCCCTCACTAGCTGTGTACAAAAGTATAAGAGATCTCAAAAATTCAGCTTTTTTACACCTTTTTCAGCTGTTTTCAGCTATTTTTATCAGTGGTTACTCACACCCCTGATAAAAACAAATTCAGATAATCAGTACAGCTGGTAGCCCATGCCCTAACACTGTCCTGAATCCTCAAATTTTAATACATAAATTATTTTGCACACCCCCTAGGGAGTTAGGGTTAGGGTGTGTTCAAAAATCGTATTAAAATTATTAATACAAAAATTATACACACACATACCGGTACATGTACGGTAGGTCTCCTGCATGTACATTCATGTAGGCCTACATTTCCACATGGACATGTGTATGTGAATAGAATCCGAAGAATTTGCAAATGTGCAGAGCATGTCAAGACAGTGAAATACTGGGAAACACACAAGTAGCAAACTTCCCTGTTTTATTTACACTGTAAAAGGTGATATAGCACAACCTTCACTTACACGTGTACATACATGTATGCACATGTACACACATGTATACATGTTGGTCACCACTGTGATCCCGAGACCAACCTCGTCCTCAGGGTGTCGAGCCGTACGCACCCACCACTACCTGCTCTCTCAAAGGTTGGAAATAAAGTAAGCACTGGGGATGAGGTTGTCCCGAGACACACAACGTGTATATCGTACACTGAGCTAAGAACGACACGAAAAAAGTATTCGTACTCAGTCATGTCCAATGTAAACAAGCAGGTTTTTTTCGTCTTTTCTCGGGAACGGTAAGACATTAGGTTGGTTTCCTTTCAACCAGATGTTTGAAGTACATGTAGGCTATAAGTAAACAATCCAAAACATGAAAGTTTGGGGGATTTAACAGGACCTAGTGCCCCTTTAAATAAGAAGCAAAACTTCCATGTCGAAATTGTCACAGCAGAACTCCCACGAGTTCATATCAGAAATTCATATAATTTGCATACACAATGTACACGTAGGCACTTTTGCAACTAGAATAAACTGTCCTTTACAAATATATACATTGCAGCCTTGTGTAGGTGGTCTTCCATGGTTGAAGGGTTAGGCATTCAAATCCAGGCCATTATTGTGTGCTTCGTCCTTGCCATAATAGCGTCCCTGTCTGTTTCTTTGGTTCTCATTTCTGACGGACCATATTTTGGTCTCCAGACCCAAGAAAAAAAATATTATATTATTAAAATATTATTATTACCACCGACCCTGTGTGAAATTGTTTCTTCCAATTTGTTATTTGTTTTACTTTTTTTGACCGACTGACCCTACTTCAGAAGCTAAAAATAAGAAAACCCTGCAAATAAAAATGGATGCCTTCATGAAACCTAAATGACAATGTTCATGTGGGGCATTCATTGTGTTGTTGGCCCAACACATTCTATAGAATAAAAAAAACTTTTGAATTTTTCTGGCAAACCCTTAAAAGGAAGATACAACATTTGCAAACATCAAAAAACGAACAAAATATCACGAAATACCTTACTGGATTGTTAGGGAGTGACATTCTAAAGCATCCTGTAAAATCGTGGCTCTTGGTGTGCTGACATTTTCAAGAAAAGATGTATTTTTCTGTGTAGTTGTAAAAACTGTATTTGTTTCAAAAACTGCTCCTAATTGTTCCCATTTGGTTATTCCGCATTTTCATTGCAATTGATTACACACCTGTGAAGGGGTACAAGCCTGCTAGACTGATTCTCTGACCTTACAATTCCTCAAAGTCTATTAATTGCTCCGTTTCATCTTAAGTGGGGTCAGGGAACCAGACTTCAAGAACATGATTTTTTTTCCCCAGCATCTACAAGCCCAAAAGGTGAAACAAGTCAGTTTAATAAACAATATTTGCTATAACATATTAATCCTCCAAATCCATTTATTTCTGAAAATTGCAGCAAAAGCAAATGTTGTACATTCCCTTTAAATAACACAGAAAACACAGTGTCAATAATAAGTAGCAGTGAATCCATGAATACATGTTTTAAAACACTAGCACTCTCTTTTTGCAAACTTAATCTATAGAGTCTAAAGGTATAGTAAATACTCTACAAAATGATCTGCATCCCACCTCAATTGGACACACCAGTCCAGAGATACAACTAATTAAATGAAAGGACTTGAATTCCAAGTTGGGCCACTTTTCAGATTATCTGGTATCCAGTGAAAGGCATTCACATACCGAGAAGGTGTGTGAATGCCTTTCATTGGATACCAGATAATCTGAAAAGTGGCTCAAACATACAGATGTTGACAGTCTTTACAAGCTTTTTAAACCAAAGGTACAAATCATACAGAGCCAAAAAATCCTGTCAAGGGTAAAGAAATACTCTCATCATCTCATGGTAATTGTTTTAGGCCCCCCCCCAAAAAAAGTGTAGTTTCCTCAGAATTTTTTTTTACTGCTACATTATTTTTGCGAGGGGCAAAACCCAATATAAAATTTACATCTCTTTCAATAACCCTATAACTCCCTTGGCCTTTTTGGTAGGATGTACTATGTAGCCTCAATCCTGCAAAATCCTCCAATTGGCCTCATGGAAAAATAGCATACATTGTATGTAGCCTCAATCCTGCAAATTCCGCCATTATTTCTTGAATATGGTCCACGGAGGGGTGACCACTGCCTGAACCCTGCAAAATCCTGCGGCAGTGACCGTCAATATGTTGAGGCTTGGCAAGTGACATCCTGGAGCAGTACTGAGGATTTCAAGCATAATCCAGGACTATATTTGTATGCATGGCTGAGCAAAAGCAACACATGGTCCGGCCCAAGACCTTGACAAAGTGCATCCTACGAAATCAGTAATGCACTTTTGCCATGTAACCTCAATCCTCCAAATTCCTCCACTTTGGCAAAGAGGATTTTGAAGGGATAGGGTTAATAGTTTTTGCGTTCTCTTGCCAGTGGCCAAGTGCGAGTTCTTCAATGCCGGCGGCAGCGTCAAGGACCGGATCGGGCTACGGATGGTGGAAGAGGCAGAGAGGAAAGGCGTCTTGAAGCCAGGGTACACGCTGATCGAACCGACCTCGGGAAACACGGGTGAGGAGCCACCTCATTGAATATCTGGGATAAGTTGCGGACACGTTTATCCACAACAGGCTCATTGTAAACACCGCCAAAAAAGAAAGAAAGTCCGCACTTATTGAAGGGGTCATAATTTTAAATCTGATCCTCTTATGATGACGCCACTTATATAGACTTTTGGAGAATTTTGTTAGCTACATTTTGAGGCCCCGTTTGCTACCAAAGACTGTAAATCGTCCAAGATTGACAACGGTTTGTGAAAAATGTTGCAGTTTGAAAAGTTGAAAATTTAAAGATTACGGGAGGATAAATTGCTAAGTGCAAATGCCATAAGCCAGTAATTGACCCCTATCGACTGCACAGCGTCCATACAATGCGCAGGAGGTTATTTTTGTGTTTTACGCAACCGAACCCCGCCAGCTACGGTCAATCATGACAAACATCGCTGGTGGGTAATCCAAAAATGCATGAAAAGAACAACATGCAAGGAGCACGCACAAACGTGCTTGGGCTAATCTGAACTATAATACATGAAGCCAGGGACTATGTATGGTCAATTTGTTGTTTTCTTCTGTTGCTCTTCACTCCAGGTATCGGCCTGGCCCTGGCAGCCGCCGTCAAGGGCTACCGTTGCATCATCGTCATGCCGGAGAAGATGAGCAACGAGAAGGTGTACGTCCTGCGGGCCCTGGGCGCCGAGATCGTACGCACGCCCACCTCGGCAAGGTTTGACTCGCCAGAGTCGCACATCAGCGTGGCCCAGAGACTGAACAGGGAGATACCAAACTCGGTCATATTGGATCAGTACAGGAACGAGGGCAACCCGCTGGCCCATTACGACACCACGGGCCAGGAGATCTGGGACCAGTGTGAAGGTTGGATACCAGTGTCATGGTTCAATCTAGTAAAAAAGCATTTTAAAGAGGAAACAAATATTTTGGTCAATAACCCTCCTGCTATCTGAACAGTCACTGATAGTCAAAACATCAATCCTTTTCCCCTGCTAGCCTTTTGCACAGGCTAGTCAATAACAGTCAGATCATATTTAAAGCGAGCTCTGTGACAAGTCAAATTCAGTCAACGGACAAAAGCAGAGTGGTAAGCACAGCTGGCTTATCAATCACCGACAGTCAAAGCATAGCTGCATCAAGTTACATAAACAGTCACATCCGATAAATCCTGCTTTATGCAGGCCGGGAGCTCTTACATGTAACTGTTGAGGACATGATTGACAAGTCATTGGAAGTTTTAAAATATTTTGAAGCTACATAACACGTAGATTACCCTGACAGTCCCGAGTCCTCCAATTTAAAATGATTTTTCACACATCCTAGGAATTTAGTTTAAAGAAAACAAATTTCAAAGTAAACTTCCCAGATGTGCTTCACCAGTATTACATACACAATAGCAAATAAAACAGAAGTATTTATATATAAACACATGCTTAACGAAACTAGTTTTTTTAATAGGCGGTTCCCAAGACACTTGTTTAAATTTTAGCAGAACAGACAACAGCTGTAAATACCTATAAAATATTTCTTTTGACTTTGTCTGTTACTAGGCAAGGTTGACATGGTTGTCATGGGATCCGGGACTGGTGGTACCATGACGGGTATTGGTCGGAAACTCAAGCAGTTGAACCCTGATATCAAGGTGAGAGATTAGGTGCTAGACCCAGGCGAACAACGTGTACATTAAAGACACAAGTCAAAACTCAGAACATGTTAACCACTTGCGGCTTTCGGAACAAGTGACAGATGGAAATATCTGTCAGCTACCCACTCGAAGCGAGAGAGGCCGGAAATATCAGTGTGTGCTACCCACTGATCTCTATATAAAGACTGGATAGCGGATATGCATACAACATTCACACAGTAGACTTTGCATATTGACCAATTCGCCCCCGGTCTCACGAAGATGGCCGCGCATAATACGAATGTTCTACGCGTAAATACGCGCGCGTTGTATCAACAGTTGACGCGCATTTTTGTCACGTACACATATTATGATGTTCTACAAGGAACACATTTCCGTAGTGATTATTATTTCAAAAACGCCGAAAAAGTGATTTGCGGCATTATAAAAGTAACCACTACGTTAGACAAATTGTAGTAAACCTTGGTCAGTTGGTCAGTGGTGGTGGCCAAAATATAAGTCAAGTGAGCCGCGACGTTACAAAAGAAATCAAGCTGTCTATAAAAACGACAACTTGTCCTTTGTAGATCACCAGCCGGTCTCACCAATATGGCGTCAAATTCGTACATTGTGCGGCTCTTTATTAGCTATCCAGTCTTTATATAGAGATCAGTGGTGCTACCCGCAGGTGACGGCCTGAACCCGTCTGGCATCGACGTTCATTAAAAAACAACCCCGCGCCAGGGTCCGGTCAATGTCAAAATAATCCATCAGATACTGCCAAACCATGGAATGGATTTTCATGGACTTGTAGCCAGTTACATGTGGTCTAAAGATTGTTGTGCTGAGAATACTGCAAGTTGTTTTAAAACTCAGGTTGCACTGAGAAAACAAAATAAGCGTAGACACTAGTTTTTGTAATGAAAGGTTGTAAATGAAAGGTTTGCGGAAACACCATGTGCAAATTAATCTCTCAACTAAGAGAATGGTTCTGAAAAGAACCAGAGGTACATGTATAAACTCCAGGTTCCGGTCAGTACATGTATGCTCTGACCGTCTTCAGGGGAGTGCCTAAACTCTAAGAAAGTAAACACTTCAGTAGTAATTGGGTGCACTTAAGTAGTAATTGAGAGATTGGGTGCGAGACCCAGGTGAACTATGTGTATATTAAAGACACATGTCAAAACTCAGCACATGAAAAGGTTTTGTGGTATTCGGAATGGATGACGACACGCAACAAGCGAGGCCGGAAATATCTGTCAGCAACCTGCTCCCTTTGCATCCACACCCAAAAAAGCAACCACACCTTCAAAAAAGAGATTTGTCGCTGTCTGTCTGACTCCACCCCGAGCTTCACTCATAGCCGTTTTGTACCACACATTTTGTAGCCTTTGGGGATACTGGGTCAGAATTGCTTTTTCTTTCTTTTCCCCTCAGATTGTGTCGTTTGATCCCCACGGCTCTACACTGGAGCCGCCGTTCTTTGACAAGCCAACAAACCCAAATGCTCCCTACGAGGTGGAAGGCATCGGCTATGATTTCATCCCCACTGTCTTAGACCACAATGTAGTTGACGACTGGGACAAATGCGAGGACAAGGAGTCATTTCTGATGGCCAGGAGACTGATCAGGGAGGAAGGATTACTGTGTGGTAAGATTCACTGTTGTAGTCAAATCCGAGGTTTTTTTTTTTTATAAATCCTCACTCTTCCCCTCAGGTCCTTAGAAGTCTTCACACATCCTCACAAGTCTAAAAAAGTCCTCGCAAGTCCTCAAAGGTCCTCACAAAGCCAAACAAGTCCTCATAAATCCTCACAACCACTGCATGTCCTCACAAGTCTTCAAAGGTCCTCACAAGTCCTCACTTGTCCTCACAAGTCCTCACATGTCATCACAAGTCCTCACAAGTCCCTGCAAAATTCCTCACAAGTCCTCACTTGTCCTCACAAGTCCTCACAAGTCCTCACATGTCATCACAAGTCCTCACAAGTCCCTGCAAATTCCTCAAAGGTCCTCACGTGTCCTCACAAGTCATCCATTCACATGTCAACACATGGACAAACCAATTGACCATGCCAATTGTAAGAGCATCGCCAACATGACTGTGATTGGGTATTTTTTTTGGATCGTTTACTCGTCCTGCTTCAAAACTCCAGGTGGTTGAAAGGAAACTTACCTAATGTCTGACAGTTCCCGAGAAAAGACGAAGGAAAAAAATGATTGTTTACATCGGACCCGGCGGACACTTTGTGGCCTAAGCATTTTCCAACCATGTCCATTTAATGTATGCAACACATTGTGGTGTGTCATATTATACACACAGCGCCAATACACCAATGTTGTTTCTCACATGTCCGCATAATGCGATACACTGTGAGGCAGGATTCACAACAACAGCGCGATTTTTGAGAGTTGCAATTGACCCCTGAAATTTGTTCTTGCATGGTTCTCGAAAGAATAACACAAAATTGACAGGATGGTTGTGTGGACGTTTATATCCTACTTTTAAATGCTCTTTCAAATTAATATCATTTCATGTAAACACATTTTGTAGCCCAGTTGGGCGCATTTTAAAATGTAAGGTCCCTATAATAGTTCACACTGTATACTACAGACATTTTATTTCAAACATGTAGGCCTGCAGACTGCGCAATCGTTTGCCGAATTTATCATTCCGGTCTGTGTACTTCCTCACTTGATATAACATCTGGGTTTTTTTTCTCATAATTTTGCCATATTGGCTGGCTCTTCTCACTGATGCATGGAAATTAATATCTCAAATCCAACTGTACACATAATTATATTGTAAGTCTGATATTATACTACAGACCAAATACATGTACATGTACTACAATACAGAACATGTACGGTACCTGTACATGTACTGCATGTACATACATGTACATGTACATATATGTACATTTGTACAGGTATAATGTACATGTATGTGTTCGTGGGAACGTATGCTGTTTATAAAAATCATAGACAGTTACACAAAAACTTTGCAAAGATCTTTGCAATCATGCTACAAGCATCAATTGGGACCTTTTTCTTAATTTCCTGCTCTATGTCATATCACAGATCCTTTACACAAGGATAAACAACTCGTCCAAGCTTGTGTACAAAATGTACGGAATGGTTTGTCTAGGGACGTGATATGCCGCGTCCGCACATAGAACAATGCAAAGAACAACAATGCGCGCGCGTAAATGATCGCCAACAGCCGGCGTCCTGACAGAAATTTGACCACTGAAAGACTGCAGTTGTGCGCCGAGTCTTGCGCACGCACGCACGACGCGCAAGTGTCATATCACGCCTCTAACCAGAAATTTGGGGAAGTAAATCCTTGTGTAGAGGATCCGTGGTCAAATGCACCAATGGACAATGATGGATGGTTTGGTCTTGGTTTTGGTAGGTGGGAGTTGTGGAGCAGCTGTGTCTATAGCTCTGCAGGCTGCCAAATCACTTACAGAGGGCCAGCGTTGTGTCGTCATCCTACCAGACTCTGTCAGAAACTACATGTAAGTAGATTTATTAACCCTATAGTTAATGCAGCGCCCGAAACCGCCCTGCCTAATTCTTACTGTAGTGTCTGCTATATTTTCCTTTGAAAAAAAAAAAATCCCCCAGAGATTACAAAGAACAAAACGAAATCTTTTTAAATAAAAACAACAATTTGTTTAAAAATAATGAAAGTAAAGAAAACTATTTCAAAAATATTTTTAAAAATTATAAAACGTGTAACCATTTGAGCTACAGAAGCGTTCTAGTTGGACGGGTAGTGTAGTTATAAATGTGGTATAGATGGTGATTTTGCAATGCCGTAACGATAACAGTTAAAAATCGCATTGCGGCTGTTGTAACAATAGCAGCTACGTCCAATAACTCTTTAGTCACCATCTACCAAAACCACCCTGTCTATTATTCCCTGACACCATCTGAGTACTCTCTTGTTTGATGGCTTTATTAGTGAATCAACACAATGTATCACATGTGCTAATGGGTTCAATGCATCGTACCGGTACATTAGCCCTAACCCCTTGGACTCTTTTACTAGAAAGTATCCTGAATCCGCCAAAATTCATCAATTTGGCCATGCCAACAATTTTAGTGGCCAGTGAGTCCATCAGAATCCACCAGTTAGGCGGGAGTAAATCTGTTGAGATCCTGAATCCGCCAAAGTCCCCCAACAGCTCAATATAGAGGTATCGTGAATCCATCGAAATCCCCCGAAACAGGGGTGTGGATTTTGATGGATTCAGGTACGTTACGGTTAGAGTACAAAAAAATTCACAGGCAGAATGAGATGATAATTGTTTTTATTTGTTTTTCTCAAAGGACCAAGTTTCTGTCTGATGAATGGATGGTAGAGAAGGGTTTCATGGACGTGGAGCACGAGGGTCACAACCCCGAGAAAGAATGGTATGGTCTATAATGCAAATATGTAAATATATTGCCTTTGATATGCTAAACATGCCCCTGGGCCAAGATCAATATTCCATGTCTCTCTTATGTTGGAAACAACCATACTGGGGGCAGGCTGTAGTACAGTCTTTGTTAAACTTGACCGTTTCACAAATCAACCTTTTTGAGTAGCAACATATTTGCATTAATTAACCCTATTAACCGAACACAACCCATCAAATTTCAACAACAGGTTTTGTTTAAATCTGTTGGGATAGGTACAGTACCCCTAATAAACTGATGGTCTTTTACACTGGGGTTGGCATACCTCCAGAAACTAAGTCCAGCAGTGTGTGTGTACAGTTTCCCATGTGGGTGTTGGAATTGGCTAGAATGGGTATGGTTCCTAGTAAATTAGGCTGGGGAGTTAGGGTTAATAAGACTAGTTTAAGAATTTAAATAATGCCTTATGATGTTCAAGCCGATATATAGATTCAGTGTATCTACATGCAATGGGCTTGCCTTGAGAGTAAAGCTTCATTTTGTTTTATCTGTTCTGTATACTTTGTATATCCATCCAAAAGCCCCATGAAGCAATTTTGACTGACAGTCTAAAAGGACATGAAATGTACCTGTAAATACCAAAAGATCATGTTTTAGATTAGGAGGTATGCAACACATACATGTACATATACGAAACATGTCTGCCTAACGGATAAACAAAGTGCGTACATGGAAAGGTGGCCTTAGCTTTGGTTTCCAATCTGTACCCCGAACTGTTTGTACGCTGACAGGTGGTGGAATTTGAAGGTGGCCGTCCTGAAGATTGATGCCCCGCTGACAGTCTTACCGACGGTGACCTGCCAAGAAGGCATCAACATCATGAAGAGGGAAGGATTCGACCAGCTGCCTGTGGTGGGAGAACTAGGGTAAGGCAAGACCATCTTTTCAAGCTTGTTCTGTTTGCTAGATACTCCGATATTTTTTTTTACATTTTATTTCTTTCTGGTAATGAAACCAACGATTCCTCAAAAGTGCCCTAGGCACTGTAGCCCGAAAGCCTGACGAAACCTGTAGAGAGGAGACAATGAGAAGAAATTACAGTTTTAGAGGTGGGAGGAAAACCCCGGGAAAAAAATTCTGGGGAAAACCCACGGAATCAGGTTGGGACTGAAAACTCAAAACACATATTGGCCCAGGTGGAATTCGAACCTGGGTCACAGCGGTGGAAGGCGGGGAAAGTACCGCTAGGCCTAACTGACTCCCAGTGGCAGTGTACAGTTCATGAGATGCTCATGCTCAAGTGTGTAGAAAAAGCCAGCTTGGTATTTCAACTATGTATGTGCACAACGTCACGGGTCATTCGGGATAATCAGACGATCGAAGGCGCATGAACGCGTGGGCGCACGACGCTTGCTTGTCAATTACGGTGACTGCTCTATGTTCCGACACCCCTATGTTCCGACAACCTAGATTGTGTTACTCCCGGTTAGGGTTAGGGTTAGGAATAGGAATATGTGCTGTCGGAACATAGGGGTGTCGGAACATAGAGGTGTAACCTCAATTACGAGTAGAATGGGCGTGTGTGTAACATTGCGTAACATCACGTCAGTGGTTGAAATCGTTAGTCGTTGGAATACCAGACTAGTCTATTAACCAGCGATCAGTGACCACCGTTAAAGACATTATTGAGATGGCTGCAAGTTAACACATAAATGTACAGTGAAATCTGACTGTTGGTGACTAGCCTATATAAAAGGCATGGCAGGGAAAGTGGATGGAATTTTTGACTGTCTGTGACAGTCTGTTTAAACTGTATTTTCTTTTTTCTTTTTCAATTTCAAAGCACCTGTTACAAAATGTTGCCTCAATGCTTGAGGCGTTGTGATTGTTTTTTTTTACCTATTTTCATGGTTCTTTTGCAGAGATGTCCTAGGTGTAGTCACCCTAGGCAGCCTGATGTCTCACGTGATGGCCGGCCGGGTCAAGCCCACCACCCTGGTGGAACAGATACTCTACAAACAATTTAAAAAGGTAAGGGAAAGTAAAAAGGTGCCATCTCATGAAATATCCGGGATGAGTTGCGGAGAGGTTTATCCCCAATAGGCCCATAGTATCGGGTATTAGTAGCAGGAATCTGATCAACTTCTCTGGACACTGCCTGCAATGTTTAAGTTTTAAAGGGTACATGAGATGAATTTTTCTGAGGAAGTCATTTTGTGCAACTTTCTACTCCTCTTAAATGTATGCAAACTATTTGACTTCCCATTTTGGTGAATTATTGAAAAGTGCACTTCAATAAACATTTAAAATTGTCCATGCTTTTCCGGACAACTGAGGACGCTGTTGCTATGAATTTCAGGAAGACACTGTTCAGCTTAGGGGTTTTCTGATCAAATTGTGAACCCTAAAATTTGCTCATTAAAAACATTTGTGAGAAAAGTTTGTTCATTGGCTTACCGTAATTTTCGGAATATAAGCCGCGCGGCATATAAGCCGCAGCACGCAAAAATCTGCAAATTAAGATTTGAAGTCGGCGTATAAGCCGCACCGGCGTATAAGCCGCACCGACCGCAGCAGTTCAATTTTGTAAGGCCTCCAAATTCTAGTCAAAATGCTCTGAACCAGTTCCATTTGCACTACGAAAGCTATAAAAGGGCCACAAATGTTATGTCAAATCATTTACAGTCGATTACTCTTACAAACAAATATGGAAATTGATGATAAGAAATAAAAAACGGGAATTGCTGCCGGCTGGCTAGTCAGTGAGCCTGTGCCGGCGAATGACATTATTTTCCCCCAGCACTTGAGAGAGTATGCAACCCACCATGTGTTGTCTGACTGGAGCGCTACAAATCCTGCTTTGTGGCAACAGCCCCTGAGTTGTTTTGTCCTAAAGGATAAACAAGTCCGTTTTTACAGCAAAACTTATCAAATTGTTGTGATTACTAACAAGTAGTAACGTCAAAACTTCAAGTTTGGATGTAACTTTCTTCGAAAACAATCAACACGATGCTGAGATTTTTATGGACGAATCCATTAATTTTGTAGGGGTGGTTTCACCCCTGTTTTGAGTTTTACATCGTTTTTTGAATACATTTCAAGAAAAAAAAATATATTGTGACGTTGAACAACTGATTATCAAATAAAGATATGTTTCAAACTCCATAAAAAGTATTAGTTGTCTTTTTCCTTTTTTTAAACTGGGGAAATATTGGTAATTATTGTTCCCAAGAAAGTGCACCCCTTTATTACCACAAATGGTGTGGTCCATGGGGAATCCCTGCAGCATGCATGCAGCATACATGTAGGCAGCATCACGTACGGCCGGTTGTCGATGTCCAAGGGACAGCTTTCACTAGCCGTACTTTTTACCGCTCGGTACCTTTTTGTGGGATGTGCTTTCGGTTTGTTAATGACTTTCTTAATTGATAATTATTTCAGCAACACATCTCTTCTTGTACCAGTACATTAAATACACATGTAAATGTCATTTTTATTCTTCAAGTCTCGGCGTATAAGCCGCCCTGTGTATAAGCCGCAGTAAACATTTTCATGGGCAAATTCAACGTATAAGCCGCGGCTTATATTCCGAAAATTACGGTACTGCCATGTACCGTCACAACAACAAATCACCAAAGAAAAGAAAATTTACGACCGCAACATATCCAAAATTCTGCCAATTTTTGGTGCCGTATCTCAGCTGTAACGATGAAGTTTCTTCCTGAAATGATTGCTCACTTTGCTCATGAATATGGGAATTTACAATTTGTCACCGACACCACGAAGTAACACCCATCTACATACCAGTAAAAACTAGCAATCGGAGAAAACGGCAACTAAAATTGAACGCCTTCTACACTTTGCGTCAAAACGACAGAGTATTTTCAGTTGGGTTTCTCGTTGTGGACACTTGATGAATTGAATTGATTAAATCTGCTGTTTTTCACCCGTTTGTGTATTAAATAAACAAGAAAAAAAAGAGAAAAAAGATGAGTGTTAGTTCGTGAAACCGAAAAGGCTGCGAAACTGTAAATTCTCGTTTTCACGAATTAAACACTCTTAATTCAATGTACTCAAAACGAGGAAAGTGCAACTTCAGGTCAGCGCGCGCGCGCGCTCATACAACTAATTACAAGAAGAGTGTTACTTCGTGAAAACGTTTTTGCTCACTTAAGAGCAGAGTGCGCGCCATGCATTGCAATGGTAAATGGAACTTGAGTGTTACTTCGTGAAAACGAAAATTGTCACTTTTGCGCAAAAGTTGTCATGGATACTTAGCGTAATTATTAAAGTAAAGCTCTTGAAGCTTTGAAACTTCGTGCAATGGTAGGCCTTGATGAATAATGTTTAAAAATCAAAAAACTGAAAATCGAAAAAAATATGGTTTAACACGGTAGAGTGTTACTTCGTGGTGTCGTTGACGAATTGCATAAAAACCAAAAGGGCACCAAAATACCCTTGTAAATGGCAAAACGAAAATGAATATGGGGTTAAATTGGACACAACGGTGCATTTTCAAAGACTGCATTTTAAAAGTTACATTGCATGCGCCCTTTAAGGTTGGAAACAGTGCTGATAATTTCATTGCTGAAAAATTCTGGAGAAGTTGTTTAGCATCCTGCAACTAGTACCCAATATAATTGGCTGTTGCTGTGAAACTTGTCAGCAAATTATCCCAGATATTTGATAAGATTACTCCCAACCATTATGTCGGGTTTATAGCAAAGGAGACTAAAAATAATAATAATAATAATAATGTTCATATGACAAGTGTTTTCATTATTTAAATAGATTCATATCATAATTTATATCCTTGCACATTATGTAAAAACAAGTGTTCATGTGTAGTTATCACACAGTGTTTGGGGGATATTTTGTGCAGTTGTCAATTTGATCACACTTACTAAACCTCATGTTGCTGCTTTAATCAATGCCTAAATATGACCTTTAACCTTGCAGGTGACCCTTGACAGTACACTTGGTCAGTTGTCACGCATTCTGGACCACGATCACTTTGTGTTGGTCACTCACAACCAGAAACTTTGTAAGTACATGTACCGGTATTGCAACAGGCAACGAACAAGGCCCACATGAAAAAAAAAAAAAAAATGCTACAATGTAGTATCATCTTTGTTAGCAAAAGTTCTGAATACGGGCTGAGTTTGTTTACTGTATTCAAGCTTTCCCGTTTTGCAAAAACACCAACAAAAAATGATTAAATGATGGTGATCTGCTTGAAAAGAATCAAGAACTAGAAATGTGTTTCGGTAGTTTGAAATGACTCTGTGACATGATGACGACAAGAACGTGTACAAAACCTATGGAGAAAAGAGTGTGTACAAAGACGATGGAGAAAAGAATGTGTACAAAGCCTACAGAAAAAAGAACGTGTACAAATCTATGGAGAAAAAAATGCACATTTAATGTGACGTAACTTGACACCTGATAATGTCATCGTGACGAAAATCTTCAGCATTCATCTTCGGGTGGAAGCCTAAGTATCTGCCAAGTTTGAAGTTGATCAGACTTTGTACCAAAGTGTGTGGGTAAGAAGAAAAACATGTACAAATACTATGGAGAAGTGTTTGAAAAAGAACAGGGGAAAAAAACAGAAGAAAAAAACTAAATCTTAGGGAAAACAGGAGCTGTTTTGGCTGAATTGCCAAAACTGAACCCATTAAATGTTATAATGTAACTGCAATTATTTTTTTTTTATCAATTAATACAAAATTGTATTTCATTAACACGACAGAGCACTAAAATTGCATGGAAACATCTGACATTTCAAGAATGAGTTGATCTTTGTCCAACTATTGCCCATTAAATGCGATGACATCTACGGTAGGCAACATATGGATCAGTATTTTGAGAGACAATCATTTTTAGCCACCGACTCATTGTCATCATCAAAAAGGGGGGGAAAATGCAAAATTGCAAAAGCAACCCTAATAAGGTACCCCGTTAAAACCTGTAAAAATTGTCCACTAAAACCTCAAGGTAAATTTTGAGTAATTAACACCTGTTCAGTTTTGCATTCTCCCCTGATTGATTTGCCTTTTTCTCTCCCGTCAAGATTCTGGCGAAGAGGGTTACACCTCCAAGGAGGTCATTGTGGGCATTTCTACTCGCATCGACTTGCTGAACCACATCACTAACAACCAGCCTTCATCTTAAAGATCCCTCCCAGTGTCGGAGCTAGCTCTTCACAGGTCACGGTACCGATGGAAACTTTCTTAAAAGGTCCCTCCCCCCAACCCTGGTCAGTTTGACAAAATCAAACAGTGGGTGAATGTGTTAGATTTTGTTCACCTGAGCAGAAGAACAAATCATTCGTACGTTGTGGTTTTGAAGTGAAAAAAAAAATGGTACCGATCCTAACTTTCTTAATAAGGTGCATCCCTAAAGTTTGTCGTTCGGAAGCACACGGTGCCAACAGGATTTTAGAGCTTCCAGTTTGGCCTTGGTAAGACTTGCTTACCGTGTATCCAGTGCGAGAGACTCTGCATGAAAGCAAATGGTATGCCAAGAAGTTCAAAGCATTTGTGTAATTATGTAAGTTAGTTTTAGACCCCTGAAATTTCAGTAACAACTAGAAATAGATTGTTTCCACTTATCCTCCAAGGGAAGGTGAAGATTTTATGGTCCCACTAGCTTAATGAATGTGTATGGATCTCTCTGAAATTGTTTGAAGTTTTTAAGGCTTCATGTACTAGCTCAAGATATGGAATTTATTGTAAAAATCTATGTCATACTGACAAGATTTGTTTTACGTCAGTGCGAGGTGCAAAAAAGAGGAGCAGGACTCGTATTGGTCTCGGGTTCAGTTCCCACTCTAGGCGATTTATTTGTTGAGCGTTACACTGAACTTTGCTATAGCAATGATATTGAGGTAGATTGTATAAAAAAAGTCTACATTTCGATGTATATTTTATTTTAAAGTTTTATGTGTTAAAAATAAGTATACACAATGTATTACAATGTATTACAATGTATTATCAGTTATTTCTAAGCTAGTTTGGGAATTGGTAACCTTCTGATTTGTAGAAATATTTGTATACTGCTTGTCCTGTCAAGTGTACCCACCTTTCTGTGTGCTGGAACCGTTCCTCTATTTCAATTGAAGTATTTATTTGGTGTTTGAGAAGTGTGGAGATATACACCATGTGTAGTTACTCGCTAATTGATCTGTGTAAAAGAGAGGTGGTTCTAAGAATAAGCATGTTAGTGTTAACTCGACGTTTGGGGAGTCGGGCTGGCGCTGTGGTTACTTTCATCGCCTTCCACCGCTATGGCCCGGGTCCAATTCCTGCCCGGACCACACATGTTTAGTCCCTACTGTATATCTGATTCCGTGGGTTTTTTTCCCCGGAATATTCTGCTAGAGTTTTCCTCCCACCTCTAACTAAACCTGTTATTGCTTTTTATTGTCTTCTCTCTGCGGGTTTCTTCAGGCTTGCGAGCTACAGTGCCTATAGGGTGCTTATGAGGAATCCTTGGTTTCATTACCAGAAAGATATACTGTAATATAATACATCTGACCATCGTATACGTAAGGGCATGTCTAAACCCTAGTGAATAAATTGGTCTTCGGAATGCAATCCCCTTGACGTGGCCTGGCCTGGAGGGGGAAACAAAAGCTACTCAAACGAAAGCTTGTCATTTTTTTATTTTATTTTTTTGTTTTTGTTTTTGTTTTTGTTTTTTTTATTTTATAATTAGATGGATGTACAGTCATTTCAATTGAAGCCATTGACGGTTTGCCCCCTATAGTTATAAGGTATACATGAACCAACGTCTGGTCTGGCACATGTTCAATAGCTGGCTGCATATACTGGCCTGCCAAGCTTAGTCGATCTACACTTGATCTCTGCCTACATGCTTTATGCGTGCTTGTGTCTCGGAGGAGTTTCTTCGATATTCTTCGATGTGTATTTTATTTTATCAACAATGAATGCACAAAAGGTTTACCCATGCCTTTCCTAGAGATACACAACCATTGCCTTCTACCTCCCATTAATAAAGGTCTATTGATCGATTCCCTCCCTAAGACTGACTGAGGTAGTGGCATTGGATCTTCGGTTTCCTTTCTCCTCAAGAGATACTTCACATGGGTGTGTCGACAAACTTTCCCCAAGTCGCGTGTTCAGGCATGAAGAGCATTGAATCGCATGTATTTATTCAGATATTGGCAATTACGTGGCATTAATATTATATTCATTCTTTATGGTGTGGGAGGTCGTTCCCAAACAAAATTGCTCACATTGAGCTGAGGCTCATTCAATGGGCCCGGTGCAGGAAGTATGGCGCTGTATATGGCCTATGAAAAAAGCCAGCGTTTGAAGCAACCTTGTCCCCAGTGACTATTTTATTTTCAACCGATAGTACACCCTGGGTGGAGAACTTGCTTCCTGTATCCCGATTCGATACTGTGATAGCAAGTAATGTAGTTGTATCGCGTTCTTGGCGATTTTAGTAACTTTAGCAACACCATGGGGTTTTGGGGGTGTGTTTTTTTTAACTCATGCATTTTTCTCTGCTGTATTAAATTTGATAGGTTGTCGGGAAAACAAGTTCGTGGTTAATAATGGAATTCGCAAGAACAGTTGAATTAAATGCATGCCTTAAATTAGATTTTAAGATTTTGTTATGTTGGTCTCTTGATGACGTTTATGTACTGTACGTGCATGCACTTGAAAATGAAGTACGTTTGGTGGGTGGTGGTTTTGTGGTGCGTGCGCTATTTAAAACGTTTATTGCAGCTTCAAAGATTGAACCCAATTGGGACTTTTATTTTTATTTTTTATTTTTTGATGAAGTTCAAACCTGTTCTGGAAATATAAATTAATATAAATCGGGCAATATGAACTTCTGTAGTTGCCTGAAATCTTTCTCTAGGCTTTGCCACCAACTGAAATTCTACCACGCAGCACTGATTAGGATACGGTAAATGATGAGTTAAAATTGCACTGGCCGTCACTCTCATGTGCGTAGACTGTATAGTTCAATTTTGTGGAGGAGAATATGGCATGTACGTTTTCCAACTTGACAACAAATTTCTAGGTTTGGAAGTAGATTAATTATTGTAATTTTAAACAGCACCCTCTTTCATTATAGCATATGCTATTTGAATTGGAAATTACGCATTAAGTGGTTTGGTTGTGCGGCTCAACGAAATACGTATGATTATTGACGGATTTCAGTAATATTAGAAATCAAGGCTCTCAGTGAAAAGCAATCAGATCTTAATTTTGTTTAGTTGCATGATCACAAAATGAGGGCTCTAAACCTTCATAATTGTGCATGTAATTTGAAATGTGTCCATTGAACATAAACCATTGCAAAATACCACAATCTTAGAAGATCATGAAGACAGTTGGTATAACTCCATGTACAGTCAAACCCTGATAATAAGAGTTCTGTTAATACAACGTCATGCTTAAAAAAAAGCAGAATTTTAGGTCCCAAGTCTTTGTTTTTCTTGGTTTTCCAATACTGTTAATACAAGGTACAAGTTATATCAAGGACCTTGTTATAAAGGTGTTCGACTGTATAACGCCAGCTAGAAATAGGAAACATTTCGGGTCTGAGTAACTGCTGTGGATACGTGGATCATCTCTTTTGACACCTAACAAATTCGGACCCATTTGTTGATGATTGGACAAGTCTTTCGGGAATCCCTGCAATCAAATTGCACCTTCAGAAGATTACAATGTATCAGTTGGAAGAATGTATTAATATCAAACTCAACATTTATTGTTTACATCCGGTTACATGCATGAAACTAAGTACAAGTGCACATCAAAAGTAAAGGATTGAAATTATTCCAGGTTAAAGTATACATTGTAAACTACATTTATCCCAATGTAAAGTAATACAGTCTATGTCTACAGTATTTTTTTTTCTGGTTTTATAACTAACAAACAAACCTTATCGGTTGTAAAAAAAAAAACATGTCCTGGCGAGGAATCATCGCTTTTATGATGCATTATAGGGGATGATAAGGAAATATATATTTTTAAGATGCAAGCGTGTATTTTTCTACTTTCTCTTTGCCTTTTGTTTTCCAATCTTAACCCTTCAGCGGGATTATCAGTTAGTTTATGCATTTTTTTAATTTTCTTCTTGTAAAAGATCACATGTACGCCTATACGAGTTATAAGCATTGAGTCAATATACAGTACATGCATTGGTCAATGTGCTTCAAATCTGTGTACAGTTAAGTTGGTAATAAACAGCTGCACGGCATTCCAAGACTATTGAAGAAGAAAAAATAATCCAAAATATGTCATTAACTGGTCATTAATTGGATTATTCAGCATTGATTTGAGCAAATGGCCGTTCTTACTAGATTAGTGTCTTCGCACATCTGTTTCGACATGGGTATGTCTGGTAGCATGGAAACACCGTGAATTCGGAGACCAGAACGACCGTGGCCTACCTAATGATAATAATAATAAGGGAATAAATGTGTGCTCCGGAGGTTTTTATCACTCTGTTTAAGACTAAGAGTCTGGGTGCTGATAATTACCCGAGCCGGAGGCGAGGGTAATTATCAGCACCCAGACTTTAAGTGGTCTTAAACAGAGTGATAAATACCGACGGAGCACATATTTCTTCCCATTAATAAATACCTTTTCAGTAAAAAAAAATCATATAATTCGTTCAAAACATCCCGATTTTGTTCAACAAATTCACTTTATGCTTTTTGAAACATCCCTCTTGCAAAATAATGGAGTGTTCAGCTGGCGAGTAAGATGTAAACAACCCTTTTATGGAGATTGACGCGCGCGTATCATGTTCTGCACGATGTCGCGCAGAACGCACCTGGCGCGTTGCGTTTTGAATTTAGAACTATACAATTCTGACTCCCTGGTAGTGTTGCGCATGCCTACGTGAGGATTGTGAACGTTCAACAAATGAAACGATAAGAGGCACTGTATTTTTAGGAGTCCACATTTTATTGTGACACTGGAAAAGTGTTTAAGACCAGCTAGCCATGTCTTTATCATCCGTTTAAGACCGGCCACGTGACGGGCTCTCGACCAATAGGAATGCGTAAACTGTCTTAGGTATTTATGAATAATAATTAATTGATATTGCGCAGATTCCACTTTAGTGTTCAAGTGCGCAGTACATGTATACATACACAATGTCGTAAAAATCTAACTACCCAGATACAATTTAAATTCACAAGTGAAATTAAATTACACAAATATCCATTAAAATACACAACTATCCATTAAAATACACAGGTACAATGCAAGCAAAGCAGAACAGAGTTATTTAAAAGCGGCAATAAAAAGGTGTGTTTTTAGTTTAGTTTTAAAAATTGAAAGAGACTGAGATGTTTTAATATCATGTGGCAGTTGATTCCATAAATGAGGTGCTGCAGAGGAGAAAGCTGTACACCCCAATGTTTGCAGCATTCTTCCTGGTGGGTATGCTAGCTGTAGTGAAGTGTTTGACCGCAATGAATAATGGGAATGAGTCTTAATGCTTAACAGATCAGTAATATAGTTAGGTGCTAAGCCGTGAAGAGCTTTGAATTTAAGCAGTAGTACTTTAAATTGAATACGGAAACAAATCGGTAACCAGTGCAATTGATGAAGTAATGGTGTTATGTGGTTCCAGCGTGATGCCCCATGCACAAGCCTGGCAGCTGCATTCTGAACTCTTTGCAGTTTGGCCAGTTGTGTATTCGGAAGACCATAAAATAAACTATTGCAATAGTCAAGCCGGCTGGTTACAAAAGCATGAACTAAGACAACCAAAGCATTTGATAAGTATTTACGTATATACGCCTGATGTTATGAATGTGATAAAACGCCACAGAACACGTTTTTTGTGACATGCTGATCCATACATAAATGAGAAACGAACCAGGATCCCAAATGCCGTACGTGACATGTTTTGGATATTGTGACATCACCTACTGTAAGGTCAGAAAGTGTTAGCTTAGATAATTGTTGTATAGCCCCAATGATGATAAACTCTGTTTTTGTATCATTTATCATGAGTCTATCCTGTAACATCCACTGCCGTACATCTTTGATACAATTCTCCATGGCAGTCACAGCCTGTGCCTGATGAATGGAACTACAAGGCTTAAATGATAAATACAACTGCATAGATGTACCTTTCCCTGATCTATCAATTAAACGTACATTATTATTTCCCAAAATGGAAGTATCAAATATACATTTAAAAAAAAAGTTGGTGCAATATCTATACCCATTGGCCCGCATTGAATAATACACGAACTGACGGAATAATAAGGTTTAAAATCAGCAATTTACAAGCCGTATATACCTACACATTGTGTCACATGACACTAAACAGCCCTATAAACACAACATGTAAGGAATCTGCATAGATGTCAATTGATTTAACAAATATAATAGTTCCACAATAAGCATATGTAGTTCCACAATAAGTCCCATACGATAAATCAGATACGATCAAACTGTTTAGGCCCCCATGTATTACCACTATACGCTGCCATTAAATCCAACCTAAAATGTGCAATATGTGCATGCGTGCATAAATTGTAAACACCAGTTTAAGGCACTATTTGGACAACGATTGTTGTTCTCATTTTACCTCGAACAGGCAATTAAACAGTTTGATCAAATAGCTTCCATCTTTAGAAATGCGTGCATTCTACATCTTTTATAAGCCGCATTGTTTCTTGGTAGATGGTGGAATGCAAGATGATACAAATGTTAGGCTCGGTGTTCCTCTTTACAACAGAAAATGAAACCAGTATATGTACACATAAGATATTAACCATTGTTGACTTGCATGTGATGTGGGATATGACGTCTTGAACACCCGAGGGGCGCATAGCACTCGAGGCCAAGCCGAGGGTGCTATATGCGCCTCGACGGTTTTCTAAACGTCATGTCCCGAATCACAGCAGTCAACAATTGTGTTGTTATACCTCTGTCATGGATTCTTTAGATTTTGATGTAAAAGTCACGAAAACAAACAGCAGTACACACAATCTTCATTACAGTCGAACGTCAAGTTACTCACATGCATGTCGCGTGCTCGAAATAGCCGATCGTCTGCTAAGTTCGCTGCTTCCACTCGTATGTGAAAACATGGTAATAATAGAGTGGGTACCAACGATACAAGCGTTTCATATCGTACGTACTGTAGCGGGATCCTACTGGGCTCTTGTCCGCCAAATCCGGCCAAACGCAAGAAAGGGGGACACACAGACGGGATTTCTAACTCTGAAGGAAGATCTCATTTATTTCGCCAAGCGGACTCTGCGGGCAACTTGCCGCACCGCTACCAGAACTGCAACTGATCAATTCCCAGCATATACATGCACAGTTTCACAAAATGTATTACAATGTTACAACTTTACCCAACCCTGGAATCCAGCCAAGTTCTTCCCGCGCAATTGAACAAAAGAACCCCACTTAGCCAACCTATTTGTAGAGCCTATTTCCAGAGCGCGCGCTAGCCAGACCCAAATCCAGGTCAGGTGCGCGCCGCCGGAGCCCCTCCGCCGGAGCACTAGTGCTAGAAAGCAATGACAACAAAAGTGTGCATAGACTGTCCGTTACACTACCCCCTCCTTAAATTGGGCCTATTCTCCTGAATAAGGGCACATATACAACACATTTTACATGATTCTTATTTTTTTCTTTAACCCAACATTGGGTGTCCTCAAAGGATGTGGAGCAACGTTGATCTGGTCCCCAAAATGGTTACTTAGATCAAACATTAATCCAGCAATCCATGATGACAACCTCTTCAACAGGAAAACATTTTAGAAACAACATGAGAAATCAAACACTTTACTTTGTTTATCAATGGGTGTCCTCAATGGAAGTTGATCAGCGTTGATTCTAGTCCCAAAACTGGTGCACAGAATCAAACAATGATACAACAAACCGTGACGACTACCTTACAACAATTTCAACACTTCTTTTACAGTTTTTTTCTCCATTTTTCTTGTTCACTTCACTTGGAAACTGTCCTTTATGTCCTCACTATTTCACAAAACAATGTCCATCCAAGAGAGAACTTCTCTCCAGTCTCTGTCTGTGTTGCACTTCGCAAGCTTTAGTGTCTTCAGCCAAGTACACAGGTCACATCGCTGTACTCCTGCCACCTGGTCGTTGACTCCCCAACCTTGCTTTGGCCCCGTTGTCTTCCGTGGTGTCTGTCCACGCACTGTTGTCTTCTCCGGCAGCCTTGTCTTCTGTGGTGCACCCCGCACCGGCGGATTCCCTGTCTTCTTCGGCGGCCTCATCTTCTGTGGTGCACCCTGCACCGGCGGATTCCCAGCCTTTGATGCTCCCTGCATCAACGGGTATCCTGTCTTCTGTGGTACTCCCTGTACCTTCGGCCTCGTCTTCTTTGATGCGTCCTGCATCGCCGGATCCGCAGTCTGTTGGCTTACCGTTCTTGTCCCTGTCACCTGCACCTGCGGTCTGAAAGTCAATGTCGTTGCTTGTTCCAGCGGGGCTGCTTTCGCCGGGGGATAGTGCCGCTCCGACTCGGTTGCCGTCACCTGAACATGAAGGTCAGTGTCTTGTGGTCCATTGTCCGTGGTCTGAGTTGCTGTCCCGGCAGTACGGCGGTCGATGAGTTCAGCGTGCTCCGGCTGATCGGCATGCACCAGCGGAGCCGTCCACAACGGTGGATCTGTGTGCATCGATGGAGATGTCCGGAACGATGGAGCTATCGATGTGCAGCTAAAGTCCTCCGCAGCAGTTGGATCAGGACTGGAAAAGTCAGTGCATCCACGAACCTCGATCCGATGGACAGCCGCCATGCTCGCCAGTATCACGGGACGGGGCTCCACGTCAACAGCAGGGCTATCATCGCTCGCAGCGGCCTCCCTACTCGTGGTCTCCCCATTCACGCGACAACCCAGCCTAGCATCAACTGCTGCCCCCGGACTGCTGAACAGGCTTGCTCGTCGTTCATCTTCATCCTGATCCGCACTGGTAGAATCATCGGAGCTGTACATCGCTTCCAATTCGGCGATCATTTTATTGCTCCTCTGCAACACACCTACCGCTGAACCAGTTGCCTGTGGATTACGTCTGTCCGAAGAATGGGCTGATCCACAAATCTGCCGCTCCAAGGAGTCTCCCACCTTCCGAACGTCAATGATGACATCGTTGATGGCGTCCACGATCTCAACTACGGCTCGGCTTTCCGTCATTTCCAGTGATTAGTCAAAAATCCCGTCAATATCCCACCGCTGCCACCATTTGTAGCGGGATCCTACTGGGCTCTTGTCCGCCAAATCCGGCCAAACGCAAGAAAGGGGGACACACAGACGGGATTTCTAACTCTGAAGGAAGATCTCATTTATTTCGCCAAGCGGACTCTGCGGGCAACTTGCCGCACCGCTACCAGAACTGCAACTGATCAATTCCCAGCATATACATGCACAGTTTCACAAAATGTATTACAATGTTACAACTTTACCCAACCCTGGAATCCAGCCAAGTTCTTCCCGCGCAATTGAACAAAAGAACCCCACTTAGCCAACCTATTTGTAGAGCCTATTTCCAGAGCGCGCGCTAGCCAGACCCAAATCCAGGTCAGGTGCGCGCCGCCGGAGCCCCTCCGCCGGAGCACTAGTGCTAGAAAGCAATGACAACAAAAGTGTGCATAGACTGTCCGTTACAGTACTATACGTACAAAGCCTGTGGGATGTGCTATGACTTGTTATAAACTTAACATGTGACCGTTCTAGACCAATGAGAATACAGTATTCAAGACAGAGGCATAACAAATATATTTATTACTTGGCTGGTGTATACAATAGACCTTATGCGTTAAGGCGGAGTCAGAGGACAATGGTGTAATATCGCTTAGGCAGTCATGAGTAAACATGTCGTGCATACATTATCAAATCAAAATAATACAGAGCACCCTCTGTGATACATGCAACGCACAAGGTATGTAAGCTGAAATGTACATTGACAAAATACTTCATTAAACGTGATTATAACATTCTTTGATGGAGGGGATCACAGTTACAAACATTAGTACATTACACCATAATTACCTTTCAATTCTCCTTTTGTCAAAACACATAATACGTTGAAATACATTATACTAAATTAAAGGTAATAATGATTTACAAACACCATAAACAAAGCTACCAAATGGCTTGTGTGAATGTGAGTGAATAATAGTCTCAAGCATCCTGTGAAATCATTGCACATGGCGTGCTGTTATTTTCAAGAAAAGTGAAATGTTTGTACGTTGGGAGAAAACCGATATATTTTTTTTCTTCAGAGTCCCCACTTTACAAAATCGAGTTACTCCGTATCTTGTTTGCAATCTGTTATACATCCGTGAACGGGTGCAAGCCAGCAAGTCTGATTCCCTGACCCGACAATTCCCCGACGTCTATAAATTGCTCCGTTTCGTCTGAAGTAGGGTCAGGGATCCAGACTACAGCATTTTTTTTTTAAAGCATATATCTGAACACAAAACTGTAAGCAGCTCAGTGTTACAATATTTGGTATATTATTCCAACCCTCAAATCCCGCCCGTTTCAGAAAATTAAGCAAAAACAAATGTTAATTGTATATTACATTTAAAGAATGTGCGTACTGAATGCCAAGCTGAATGAAATGTTTACAGCACAGCTACCTAATATTTATCTCAAATAACAAGATCGTCAGCATTTATGTACGTTTCAAAACCTAGAGAGAGTTTCACATCAAGCTGAAACCAGGAGAAGATGTTGACCAAACAGTCCACGATGTCACCTTCTTACGCGAAAGAGGTAACGTCTTCCTCCGGTTCTGGGAAGGAGAGAAAAAAAAGGAGATTCAAGTCTTCAGGAAACCTTTTTGTTTAAAGGTTCACCTAAAATAAGACAGAGTAGTAGTAAATATACACAAGTGGGCATATCAGTTGAGTTCTATAGACTCGATCCGGGTAGGTTATCAATTCTATCATGATGGCCCCCTCCAATGGCGAAAGCATCATACTAGCTATTGTTCAGATAATCCGTCACGGTACAGTTGCTTTGTAAAATAGCATACACAATGGTTTCTCCATTGAAGGGGGCCTCGTGAGTCGATACAGTGATCAAGACATCAAGTGCTCGGAGTCGTCTATAATGTTAACATTTCTTGTACACTATTAAGAGATGTTAAAGTGACGCATTTCGAAGAAGCTAACGTGCTCCGGACGTACCATTCCCCGTGCTCGTCATCCCTTCCCCCCCCCCCAAAAAAAAAATAGTAACTGCAGACCTATTTTGTATCTGAACTTCACTTTGGACCTTATTACTTAGATTGTAATTATTCATTATTTCATCTTACCCAAATTTTCAAATTCCAATGTCTCAGTGACAATACTGTGTTCGTCATCCAATCTACCTGTTCCCTTTCTGTGGAGATAATATATATGTACCATTAAAATAAATACATAACATACATGTGCCTTGAAGTTTTCTTTTTGTTTTCTTTGGTTTGATTTGGGGATATATTATTGTGTCTTGAGGGGTATATTATTGTATCTTTTCCAAATATCAACCAATACATGATGGAGCATCAGGTAATAATTATGCGCAACTAGTTACGTTTAAACACAACGCTCGCTGAGAATTAAAACAACTGAAGCACTCGGTTTTACATTTGGTATTTGTTACTGCAAGATCTAACCAAACGACAGAAAGCAAGTTCTAAGCAAGTTACTTGTGAGAACGAGGTCGAAAATGAAGTAGACCTCGGGAACGAAGTTTGTCCTGACCCCCTTGAAGCGCTGGTTCAACAAAGAATTGGGTGTATGCGCTCTGGCAGAGCCGTATGTTGAGTGTGTTCGATTATTTCCCCCAGCTTACTCGCACCTGGCTTCTCGCGTGATGACAGACATGCGCAGTGGAGCTAAATAAACGAACGGTTTCGGGTAAAGTTTCGTGCAAGAGCTGGAAAGTTGAACCTTTGACATGACACTGAGGCTGCATCCGAATCAACAGTATTGTCTAGAGCTAGGTCTAGGTCCACGCCCATTGAAAATACGCGGGGACGGGCTGACAATAGATGTAGCTGTAGCTCTGGAAGCACACGCGTCATGAGGCGCCCGCAGGACGTCACGTTTGCAGCCATGTTTATTGCATGGCCTAATGGGATACTTACCCAATTAACCGGCTCGGCGAGTCGGTTACTTGGGCCAGGCTTGAGTAAGCGCGAGAATTCACGTGAGAGGTAAATCGAACACTGTCGCGCTTGCACGAGTAAGCGCGGGCGAAGTAATCGAACGCACTCTTAGAGAGAGTTGCGACATGCATGAGAGTCGCACTGTTTGGAACCAAATGGCGGATTATGCATCAGTGCACATATATAATTCGTACACAATAGTCGCACGCTGCACTGTACACATAATGAACGGCCATTATGGTTCAACAGTCTGAAGTTGTCGCAACTCTACGCAGGGTGATTAAAAAAAAACGAAACCCAAATGTCGGGACCATTTTCTTCATGAATTTCTACATGAAGCACTTTCAATATCTAGGATATGAAAGCCCAATTCACAAGCGGTTTTTTAGTATAAGAATCATTCAAATTACCCATGTACTTTTTAAGTTCCGAAATGTTAAACACAACCACCGTTTTAAAGTCACAAAAAGGTACGAGTAATTTCAGCAAAACGAAAACAATTGACACATATCCCTATGTGATTCGTTTCCGTTTTGCTAAAAGAACGCACACCTTTGGTGATCCGTGGACAAAACTTTAAAACGGTGGTTGTGTTGAAAATTCCGTAATTTGAAAAGTACATAGGTGATTTGATTTATTCTTATACTAAAAGAAATGGGCTTTCATATCCTAGATTTTGAAAGTGCTAAATGCAGAACTTTACTAAGAAAGTGGTCCCGACATTTGGGTTTCGTTTTTTGTTACTCACCCTGTATACGGCGTACTACGCTCCGGAGGTTTGAATCTACATTTCAAAGTGTTGTCATGTGAAAAAAAAACCTGATCGTGAATTCACGAGATTATAAACCATTGTGTGAACTCTAATGTCATTTACAAAACACCGTACTTACTTTTTCTTGGCAAGGATTTGACCATCTGCAGGAAAGAAAAAGCAATAAAAGTTACACCTGAGAGTATCACTTTATAATACGTCGTCACAGATCATTTGTAAAGAGTGTGAAATTGAAGAATTATTTTTTTTAAAGAATGCTTTAAAATATTGCTGTTTATTTACTACGTTGTTTGTTAGTAACGACGGTTACTTCTACTCAAAGAGCCAGTGTCGTGTCCAAATTATGTTCATGGAGATCGTTGGTAGAAAGTCGTGGTATCTTTCTCTCACCAACTGATCTCCATATAAAATCAGGATCTAGCCCATTAGAAGTGCATGTCACCGATTTGTAAAGAAAGATATTTCATTAATTGACAGGATACTCAACTAATAATTATGTTTTGGTCCCCCCCCCCCCCCACAAAGGCAACAAAATACATTTTCTGTTTCCGAGAAAAAAAGTGCATACTTTTAAAAATGACTTTTTTTATTTAATATTTTAAAGAATGGGAGTGGTTAGGACTGGTTCCCTCCTCACATTCGAATGAAGGGGTTTGAAAACCAGTGCCGAACTTCACTTCTTAGTACAGCTCGAAATGGCCAACGAGCTTTTCCTTTTTTTTTCACACAGAGATCAGTGCAGCCCTTACCGTGCCCAGAGTTGGTCTTCCGATTTCTGCGATAGAGAACAACAACCAGAGCAATGCTAATCAGCGCGATTATCACCAGAATCACAATAGCGGCAACGAATCCAGAGTTGCTTGTCGATGCACCAACACCTTGTCCAAAAAAATAAGATGTTGAACCTTGAGAAACATTGTTACTTGAGCAGGTTCGAAACGGGTATTTTTTTGGATATCAAGATATTTTGCGATATTACTTCTTTCCAAGAAAATAAAGACAAAGAAATTGATAAATTATGTAAAGCTGCAGAATCATGATCCAAGTTATGTTCCAATAAAAATACTACCAGCCATTTTTTTCTCCAACGGTAGGCCTATATAACTTAATGTAGGTTTCCGGGCCGAACGTGTCAGATTAGATTTATCATTTTCGTGCGTGCATCATGGTGCGATGTTGCTACACTCCAGAAATACGACGTGAATATAATTATGTTGATTTATTTCCTTCAAACTTTAAATTCGACCAGAAAATTGACTCCTCACCACTTATGTGATTGCATGTTCAATAGTGGAGAACTCATGACTTTTCAATCCAACTTAAAGAGTCAGACAGGGTCAATGCCAATTCAACCATGCTTGCCCAATGCCACACCAACCCGTTGAAAACATTGCATCGCGCCCGCCTTCTCATTTGATTATCATGGTATTTTCAGGAGCGTAATGTGCCTTTTGGACGGTTAAAACTGCACACTTTATATTGAAACTCCACCGATTATCCAGCAATATAATTGTCCTAACCTGGCAAGGCGGCCGTTGTTTTATCCTCCACGGGTGTGGCAGTAGAAGGTTGATCGCCACTGCTGAAGGTAGTGGTTTCCGTCGGATTTTCTGGAAACGATCAATGGATTTGAACAGATATAGAGTTAAATGTTCAAAGTAATGTTAATTCTTAAAAAGTACTTTTTATAGTTTAACATGTTTGATTATTTGTCACTTGCGATATCTAATTCTTTTGGTACTATTGTGTTTCAGAGTATATTTCAATCTAAAACTTAAGGAGGGGGCTTTCCAGATCTAAAACAAGGATATGTACGTTAGGTTTGAACATGTTTCAATAAGTGATAGAGATTTGATACAGAATAAGCGCCTTATAAATGCTCACACAAAAGCACCATATTAAAACATGGCTTGTAGGGAGCGTCTTTTATAAGGCACCGTATATTGGCACACTGCCCAACTTCCTGTATAAATTACAAACGCTGCAGTAAGTGCGGTGTATATGTCATAGATATTCTATATCTATGGTATATGTATACGCACGTTCGTGTACGTGCGAAATCGTCCTTTTCGGTCTGCGTGAGTATCTTATAGATCAAGTGCTCTAAACTATAACCTCTTTACTGAGGCAGACCAGATTTTGTAGTACCTGTACATTCTCATTTCATTGTGTCACTATCCCTGCCACTACTGGTCGAATCTTTAGTTTATAGTATGTCACTCAAATGAGTGATTTTGAGGTGAATTTGTATAATCGTCATCCGAAAAGTTTCACGTACAAATCACATGCATGAAGGTTGTTACTCTGAACTGTTTCATGTTGGGTTCATGTGGCGACTGTTGTTCGTTTTTCATTTGCGTTTCGATACCTCAAATACTTTACTTTATCAGGTGTAATCTGGAAGGCGGAGTCCACACTTTCGTACACTGATCTGGCGTTCGGGGAACTTTTTAGAGTAAAGTTGAAATTCATAGGAGAATTTTAATAGCAAATGGGACCCTTAGAGCACTTGAAACTTATTAACTAAAGCCCGGTTGATACTTCACGCGAAAGCGAAATTCGTGACATCAACAATACATTTGAAGCGCGTCCACCATTGTTGACGACATGAATTTCGCTTCGCACATGCTTTCGCGTGAAGTATGAACCGGGCTTTAGACTTTGGCAATTGGAATTAGAATTAAAAAATTGAGAGTTAAAATGTAATTTGACTTGAAATTAGTTTTGTGAGCTTAACCTGGGATTGATGTCAACAGCCAGAAATATTGTAAAGTCTTTGTGAAAGAACAAGTTTTGGAACAAGTACAATTGACTCCTGTTCATACTGTGTTTGTCTTTTTTGCCTTGGTGTTCTTAAATATAACCATTTAAGCGGACCTCAATGGCATACCATTACATTTGTTTATGGTGTAAATCGAAGGCTCTGTATTGTTCCTCTTCCCTTTTATAACTATTTTTTGTAACAGCTCTCATTGGTTTTGTATACGTTTTCTAACAGACATGTTTGGTTCCTGTTCCAGTTCGTTATCGATGATGTCGCACCTGTGTGTCCTCAATTTACACCATAAACAAACGCAACGCTGCAAGGGCAGTCACATACGTTTGCACCTTAACCTTAAGGGGTAAAACCTACATACAATCCCGTTAAACTAAATGTAGCCTAACCAAACACATTTACCAAGAGTTGCAGCGAAGATTCTGACAGGCTCACTGGCGCCAATGACGTTCTCTGAGTAAACCTCGATCTCGTAGACAGTGCTAGGACGCAACTTCCCGACCAGCGTGTACTCGGTGACGTCATGGAGTTTGTTGCTTAGTGTGCTGGGTTTGAAGTCGGTTGTAGCTAGAAGTTCTCGATAATTTACATAGAACCATTGAGGGCTCCCTCCATCGTTCCCAGGGATCCATGTGACTGTGATGGAGTCATGTGAACTTCGGCTTGCATCAATCGACACATTTCGAGGCGACGATGGTGTAGCTTTGGTAATTTTAGAATAACATTCAATTCAATGCATATTGTAGAAGTGGTTCTCGGAAGTTGTGAATAAATAAGTTTTAATTCAAAGAACACATGAAAAAGCAAGGCTTTACAATTTCTTTTGTTATCAGAAAAGTCAAACCAACAGCAAAATTCCATTGATGTAAATGAATGAAAAACCACTCAAGACTTGTCTGCCAGGGTTCTTTAAAAGAGTAAACGTTTCACTCCTTTAAACGTTTCACTCCTTTTTTGGCCAATAATGAAAACCCACACTAAAAGAGTAAAACTTCCACCCCTTATAATTAAAGAACCGTTTGGCGGACAACTATTTGTGGAGTAGTTTTCACTCCTTTACATTGAGAGAGAAAGTTTGCTACAAGACCAAGAAAGGCAAATAAACCATCTGGCACATAGACCCTTATAAATTGAGCGTATAACTATTATTATTTAAGCCACCTTGATATGCAGTGGTTGAACCCTGGTCAACCGGGGAAGTTGTAGTTGCAGCTTCTGTACTTGGCAAGCTCGTAGTCGAACCAATGGATGATGTAGTTGTTTCAACGTCAACTGGTGGAGCAGGAGGTTGAGTCGATCATACCAGGTTTGTTGTGGCAGTGTGGCAAAATTATAGTGACAGCAAGTTCAGTTGACGCAAAAATAAAATGAGATAGAAACAGTTAACAGTTGTAATTACAGCCCCATCTACATCTTCCGTGTATCGATCAATTGCAACGAGACTGACACTTGTAGTGATGTATGGCTTGGCTATGAATGGACACCTTTGCATTTACATGCCATTGAAATTATACATGCTTTAGTCAATAAACAAGTTTTACTGACACTTTAAACTTAGTATCCGTATGGCAGATCGCCAGTGCTTTTTATGGCAAAATCTGTTTCTTTTTTTATCACCGGAGTTTTTTCGTAAAGTAAACAAACCACCAAACGTCACAGGAACAGTGTTTTACCTCTTTCTCTCAACTGAACTCTCAACGTGTCCACCATGCCGACGGTGTTCCCGCTATGACACGAGTAAAAGCCGTAGTCTCCTTCACCGGCCACTCTATTAATGTGCAAGATGCCCCTCAGTGTGTAACCGTAGACAGCACCCCCGCCAGTGAGTGTATCGACCTGAAAGATCCGGCCAGGGTCCGTCTGATTGGTTATCAGGGCGTCCGTTGGGCCCGTCCATGTAATGATGGGGAGGGGGTTTCCCTTGGCTTCACAAACCAGGAGGGCGTTGTCTCCATCGTTTGCCTCCACGACGTTGTCCGTTTCCTTGTTTGTGATTGTTACTCCATCTTTAGGAGACAGAAAATGATTCAGATAACCAGATACATGCGTTTCAGTCTGCTCGTTTTTGCTTTTGAAAATTTCCAAAATGATAGAGGGACAAAATGTGTTGGTGCGTTTCTTCTGGATTAGTGCTCGTGGTTACAAAATCATTCTGGGACTACTTCTTTTTATTTGAAGTTGAGGCAGTAACAACAAAAAAACCGATAAATGCACACGTATCTCCATAAACTCTGTTTCTTTGTAGTTGATGAATCGGGTTTTATTCTTCTTCTGTTTATTTGTTTGACATGAGTGTTTGTCTTCCCAATAATTGATTTAATGCACTTTATAAGTATTCAGAATCTGCCTTCTTGGGCTTGACATCTCCACTAATGCCAGCTGGGAGAAGTATATCTCACTGACATGCGAGTTGGTTGTCTCTATCGAGCTCAGAAGTTTTGTTTACATCATGATGCTATTCTGTACTTAACACCACTATGCGTCCCCTGATGGAATACTGTTGTCACATATTGGAGGGAGCTTCTGCCTGCCTTTATCTCTGTTAGATTGGGTGAAGAAGCGAATCGACAATTTGGTTTGGTGAGGAGTTTGGCTCATTATTATGACCTTTCTCCCACCGTAGGTCATTAAGCAAGCCTCAGTTTGCCCTACAGATATTTCCATGAAAATTGTTCTACCAGTTTGTTTGACTTGGTTCCTCCTGTCAGGGTGTTTGAGCGTGCAACTAGGCTCTCTGCCTCTTCTTACCCATACACTCTAGCTGTAAGGAGATGTAGAACAAATAACTACACTACTAGCTTTTTCCCACGTTCTGTATCTCTTTGGAATGCCTAGAGGCTGTTTCCCTCCATTCAGTGATCTAGCCTCTTTTATGAGGAATATCAATTCCTATACCTTCAGCCTTCCTGAGTAATCTTGCTCTTGTCATCATATTTCTCTTATCTCTATCCCTTTGCCTAGAGTGGCTTCCTTGGGGTGATTTCTTAAAAAAATACTGTAACAGACTTACAGTGTACAGCTACGCCAATCTTTTTAGAGTACGCCACAGGCGGCACGCCATTGTTTCCGCTGCACCTGTACCAACCAGCCTGCGCCCTGCTGATGTTGCGTAGTGTCAGGGTGCTTGTCCCATCGCTGTAAACAGAAGGTAGGGAGTCAGGAGACCCGACTCTCTCCCACGTGATGAAGTCGGCTGGCATTGGATTTGCGTCTGCGCTGCAGGACAGGATGACGTAAGCACCCTCATCGAGAGGTCCAGGTGGATTTGCAGTCGGCTCAGAAAAGTACGGGCGATCTACAAACACAAGCATTTCAAATTCTAACTGAAATACGTCACTGATTTAGTTAGGCCGCACCGGAATATCTTGTGTGGAGCTATTGTCTTAAACCTTCGTCAATAAAAACTACATGTACGAAGGTAACTGCCGACAATAGACGTAGCCGTAGCTCAGGAAGCCCATCTCAGACACAGCCTTAATATCTTTCATTCGAGGGTTACTGCAACTATGTATGGATCATTATTGATGATTCTTTTTCATGACGACTGTTCTCTTATATAAAGTCGTGCAGCTCAGCAAATTTGTCAATCTTGTTCTCTGTTTTCTGATTCATGCCGTACATAATCGTTCCATGACATTGGTAAGTTGGGTAAATGAAAGTGAGGAAGGGCAGTCTGAGATACATGCACTAGTCTATATGATGCGTAAAATCAAAATGGAGATGTGTATTGCTAGTATCCCGAAATAGGTATCTCTCCTTCTCATGGTTCTACTTATAATGGACAGATAGCCGATTCTAATCGAAATGTCCCATTCTGTATCTGGTCTTGAACGTTGTATCAACCGAAAGTTCACGTTCCAAATTAGCCACGTTTAAACAATCTGCCAGCGACGTCGCACTGTGGAGTGACTTATTAATAGCTGACATTGATACAGGTCTCAATTTAAAACCACCCCAAGATGATATTCATATACCTCTCCACGTTTTCCTTACTACGACCTGTCCCAGTGGCTGGAAACAAAATAGTAGTTATGGATATACAATGTAACTCTGCAAGCTACAGAAATAACTAATAACTTTCTCACATGGTACATTCAATGTACAACTGTCGCAAACGGCACTGCATCCTGTATTGGTCGTGCAACACATGTACACGGCTCCATCGTCTGCCCTGGTCAGTACACCAGTCGTGAGATCCAGTCTCGTCACGTTGCCATCGTAGTCGCCATCAGTTATCGCCGGCTGAGGCTGATTGGTCAGCTCCGCATCGTCTCTCATCAGAGTCAAATTGGTAGCTGGGTTGCTACTCTCGGTGACACAGCTGAGGGAGACAGTATCGCCCGATACTACTCTGCGCGGGCAGCCGGTCATGCTGACCATCCTAGTACAATCTGGAGACAGTGCAAATGCGTAGGCTATTCAGGCAGCTTTTGGAAAGAGTACTACATAGCGTGCACGCTACATATTGAAGTCTACCATGAGGTCTGTGGCTCATATAGGTTTCCAGATTCAACACTTCAATCTGCAAAGCCAGTAAGCTGCATTAGCCCAAAGACCATGATAAGCCTCACTGTTGAAATTGCATGTACCTTGAGACCCAAGTTTGTCTCCCGAATACCAAAGTAGCATATTAAATAATATATCTTACAACTTACATTGGACATCTAAGGGGCCAAGGGAGCTTTCTGGACTGACAGGCCACTCATCTCTTTGCGCTGCGCACCGAAGGGTGTCTCTGTTATTATCTTTTACCGGAGTGAAAAGCAAGGTAGTGGTGAACGTATACCGATCATCTTGTGGTATTGAAATGGTTCCGTAACTAGGCAAAGGATCATCTCCGTTGAACCAATGCAATGACCAGTCGGATGGGAACCCCAATGACGCTTGGCATTCCAGGTAGATCGGTGTATCCTCAATCATTGACAAGCTGCCGATGATCATGGGTGTGTCTGGTGGACCTAAACACAACAACAAACAAGAATGGTTACCCATGTTCAAGTATCTTACTAAGGTGATACTAGCTGCAGCAAAGATGCAGGTAAGAATGCAGTGTCTCGTAAGTAGCCTGTGGTCATGATGACATAATATTTCGGCATTTTTTTTCTTTCTTGATCAATCGAGTTTTATCGCATTTCGAATCGTGTTATAGTATCACCCAATTTCAGTAATTACCATTAACAATTAGGGTGACCTCTACAAACGGCAAAGGTGGTTGCGACTCTGCCGTACTGGCCACACACTTCACCTCCTGTCTGTGATTGGTTCTGTTAGGAGTGAACGTCCACGTGTCGGTCGTGTTGACCAATCCGTCGCCTCCTCCCGAAGGCGGGCCTTCGGTACTTTGCGAGACATCATTGAGGAACCACTCAATCATTGGTGATGGTCTGGTTCCCTGAATCTCACACCGAATGGCCATCGGGGTATCTTGGTCTATTTCGACAACGTCTTGGAGTCTGGTACCGTCGGTGTCATACAACAACATCGAGGAAGCTTTCGGTGGCACTTAATTAACAAAACAAAAACGAATACAAAGATGCAATTTTACTTATATGTTTTTAGACTGTGCATGGTGCGTGTAATATTAATGTCATTGTGACAAAACGCTACGTCACACTCAACAAATCGGGCATATTACTGTTAGCATAATATTGGAGGGTCAGCCCGAATCTGCTAGATATCTAAAACCAACGGCTCTTAAGGTTGGACTAAACGTTCTTCTACTAGTGACCAAGCAAGTGAGATTGTAGACATTTGTTCCACAGCAGTGTTATAACCTATGCGCTGTACAACATTGTCAAATACTTGAATTCCGTGGACATCAACGTTCAACCAAGTTTTACTTTCTGAGAAATTATTGCAATCGAACACCATATATCTCACCTTTCACAAACAGCATGACGCTGGTACTAATTCCAACATGGCCGTCTTCATTTGAAACCCTGCACAGTAATACCTGCCTATGCTGGCTGCCTGTTGTGTGCACCGTAATACTACTGGTGCGGTTTGTCCATCCGTCTGTGCTCTCGGTAGTGCTGGTGCTATCTGAGGTAATTTCCTCGCCGTCCAGTGTCCAAGAGAAAGATGCATCTGCATCTATGTCATGTGCTTCACATGTAAACCGATGATTCTCTCCCTCCACCACTTGAGCTACACCACCAGATAAGGGGTAGCTGCCAGCCGAGTCCATTATGAAAAAGTTGGTGGGAGGCGCTGTGATGCACCAACAACGGTTTTCAAAATTAACGAAAGAGTTTAGTGATTCAAGAAGGGTCTGTAGAGACTCTCAAAATGTACCGTCGAGGATAAACAGTGAAACTACTTGTGTTAAATGATCCAGTAGTACGCAATTTGTATGAGCTACTATTCGTCTGCCAACCCTCTTCTCTGAATGACAAATCCAGCTACATCATATCATACCAGTTAAAATCAGGTGACTGCTTTTAATGGTTGAAAATTCCCTGATTAACTAGATTAGCCATGCTTTGACTAGAAGTAATTGATAAGCCAGCTGTATCTACCAGTTACCTCTTTTGTTTGTTGATGGAAATCGACTAGTCACAGTATTTGTAAACACGAATGTGATCTGTCTTTATTTTTTACTAGCTGGTATACAGATGCGTTGCAAGTGAATTGGAAGATGTTTTTGTCCGTCACTAAAATGATCAAGCAATATGAGGGATTAATGGCAAAAACACATACCATTGACATCCAGTGTAACAGTCGCTGACGGGAAAGGTTGCCGTGATTCAGGCGTGCTTGCCACGCACTTCAACTCCAAACCATTGTCTGCTCGAGTAGGGATGAACATAAATGTAGCCGAGGTGTTGACCACATCGTCACCTCCTATAACCGATGGACCGACTGAATCTTGAACACGATCCCCAATGAGCCAGGAAATATCTGCTGCTGGTCTGGTTCCTCGCACTACACAGGTGAAGTTGTGTGGTGCACCTTCCTCGACCCTGACTGTAGACTGAAGCCGGTTCCCGTTGGAATCGTACAATGAAATGTGCGATGCCAATGGGGGAACTTCCAAATGAGAGAAAACGGAAAGCATTTTTGTTTTACAAATAAGACGACTCTCAATCGTTCCGTATATTTTTTTTAAATAATTTATGCCTTTCTTCGAATGGTACTGATGTTTTAACGGAGAAACGAAAGACCTTGTATTTGAACTTCGTTAAAAAAAAGAGGAAAGATAACATGAGAATGCAGGAGATTCAAAAATAAATATGCTATCAATTAAAGTTGAAATCTGTGTACCTTTGACGTCGAGTGTTACGCTAATGGAAATGCCTGGGACGCCATCCTCGTTCGAAGCACTGCACTGCAATGTTTCCCCGTGGTTTCTTCCCACGGCAGACACTGTAGCAATGCTGGTACTGGTAGTCAGTCCATCGTCACCCACTACGTGGATGTTACGATCTGGAGTGAACTGCTGTCTGCCAAGCGTCCACACAAACGAAGCACCTGGGTTGGAGCCTGGTACCTCACAAGTAAACTGGTGGTCAACACCAGCCACTACATACGAGATGGCAACAGTAGACGTGTAGTTTGTTGTCGAGTCAGACAAGGAGATGTTGTCTAGAGGAACTACAAAATCAAATAACATTTTTTTAAAAAGTAACAAACAGGTCCGAGTTACATTATCCATGTCTACATCTTTGTTTCGACGAGAGCTTACCAAAGACATCCAGCGTCACTGCTACAAATGGAAACAGTTGCTGTGACTCTGGCGTACTCGCCACACACTTCACCTCCTGACCACGATGGGTCTCGTCGGGAGTGAATGACCAACTGTCGTTTGTGTTGACTAATCCATCACCTCCTCCGGAGGGCGCACTGGCGTTGCGCTGCGACTGACCGTCGAGAAACCACTGGATGGCTGCTGCTGGTCGTGTACCCTGTACCTTACAGGTGAATGTTTCTGGAGTGGAAGGCTTAACGGCGGCGACGGTATGTAGACTTGTTCCACGTGAGTCATACATCGCCATAGAAGAAGCCTTTGGTGGGACTTGAGTGGAAAAGGGCACAATTATACTATAGAGTTTAAATCATGCTTTGTACTGCGATCTTATTAGTTTAAATGAGTTATATGTACTCCTCTTTGAAGTAAACTGGACTTTGCTCATGACTCAAAACGAAACGGTGTATGTCCTGCTGCAATTAAGCATTTATCAACTTTGGGTGATGCTTATTAAACGGAAAAATTGTTGTCATCGTTGCTGCTTTCGCTGTCATTGTCGTCGTCATTGTCGTCGTTGTTGTCTTCGTTTTCGTCATTGTTGTGTCATTGTCCTTGTCGTTGTCTTCGTCTTCGTCGTCGTTGTCTTTGTCTTCGTCGTCGTTGTCTTCGTCTTCGTCGTTGTTGTTTGTGTCGTCTTTGTCGTGGTTGTTGTTGTTGTCGTTGTCGACGTTGTTGTTGAATTTAATTAATACCTTTGACATCCAGCAACACGCTGACATTGATGCTAGGTTGGAAGACTGTATTCCACGCTTGACACCTCAGTACCTCGTCGTGCTTAATTCTGGTGACCGATACGGTCACAACACTTGTGCTGTTTTTCAATCCATCGGCATCAGTCACATTGGTGATGTAATCTGGTGTGATTCTCTGACTCCCCACCGTCCAATTGATTGAGGCCTCTGGGTCTATTCCCGGCACCATGCAGGTGAACTCGCGATCAACTCCCTCTACTAGATACGCTACACCTCCACTGGATGGGTAGATTCCGGTTGAATCGAATAACATGACGCTTGTCGGGGCAACTATATTTTGATAAAATACAGTAACTCAAAAAATATGTTCAAATATGTCCGTTGATGTCATCCTTTGGCACATCTTTAATGTGTGTAAAAAGCAACAAGCTATGTTTATAGTTGGTAGAATGTAGCTCATTTTGTATGCAAAGTGTATAGACAGGTTTGGTTGTTGGCTTCACCGAGACTATAATCATATTGCGAATCTCAACAAACTTATCGATCTACAGTTTAAATAAAGCGCTTAGAAGGTCAGTGTTTCTGTAAGGTGCAGTGACGGTTTGTCGTTCATTTTAATCAGGTCTCTTTTGTGGATGGATAGTGTGGTTTAACATTAACGTGACCAACACAACCGCGAATTGAGTGTCCAGCATAGCAAAGGCAGTTTCTGCTTGGTGATGTAATAGACATGCAAGCCAAAGGTTAATTTAGGCAATGACCAGTAATTGTTGTGACATGGGTAGGAGCCTATGTTTGTGCATATGTGAAGTTCTGGAATTATCAGTAGGCCCTTACATACGGGATCTACCCGATGTTCCCCAATACCTATGCTCCCCAATACCTATGTCCTCCAACATCCTTATGGTTAGGGTTTGAATAAGGGTTAGATGGTGAGGGTTAGGGTTAGGGTAGGGGTACAAAGGGATTGGGAAACATAGGTATTGGGGGACATAGGTAGCACCCTTTACATACTATGCCTACCGTTGACGTGCAGTGTGACATTGACCGAGGGGTACTGCTGCTGTGACTGTGTTGTGTTCGCGACACACTTTACCTCCTGACCCTCATTGTCTCTAATCGGTGTGAAGGACCAGTTGCCTCTGGTGGTAACAAAGTCATTGCCTACAGCAAGTGCTTGCATGATGGTGTGCTTCAGCACGCTGTCTAGGTACCACTCAATCGTCACAGCCGTTTGTCTTATCAGCATCTCGCAGACGAAGGTAGTCCCTATACCTTGGTATACCTCGGCTGTCTCTCCTAAGATTGTCCCACCGGAATCGTGCAGTGACATGGCCGATACCTTAGGTGGTGCTTTAAACAAAGAAATACATAATACGATTTCAACAATCATGGCGAACTGGAAAACTTTTTTCGCTCTGCGTTAAAAAGTAGCATATTAACCAACCTGAGAGTCCAAAATCGTTTAGTTTTTCAAAAAGTATACTTTGTTTGTATCCACCAGCTGGCGCAGGTGGAACACAGGCGCAGGTGACCAGCGATACCTTGGAGCTCTCATTTGAACAAAAAAAAACATTTGTTGGTGAATAATGTCCTCGTGCACTAAACCATGCATTGACCATAGCAGTAAGCTACCAACAATGCGTGACCTATATGTTTCCTTCATACGTTTTTTCCATCACAGCGTCAGTGGGTGCGATCGAACTGCAATGTTTCAATTACAGCAAATTGTTTTCAGGACCTGATAATGATAAGAGCGACACAGTGAAGACCCACCTCTCACATCAAGCGTGATGCTGATGGAAATGCCCGGATGTCCATCCTCATTCGACGCTTTGCATCGCAACATCAGTCCGTTATCATCTGCTGTTGGTACCACAGTAGCAACACTTGTACTGGTAGTCAGCCCGATGGTACCAGTGTCGTGATTGTTCGATGCTGTGATGTGCTGCTGACCGATCGTCCACGTGAAGGAGGCTCCTGGATCGATGTTCGGCACGACACAGGTAAACTGGTGTCCCAACCCTTCGACGAGGTGTGCTGTGCCGCCAGTGGGTAGAAAGCTCCCAGTTGAATCGGATAGAGTGATGTTGACAGGATATGCTATTGGACCAAAAACCATCATTGTGAGTGCATGCCACCCTCTATTTGTACATACCACTGTGCCTGACATCTTTCAACTTTCAGCTCCTTATTTCCGTACTTCCCTTGTATCGTTTTCAGTGAGTCCAATTTCACCATTTGTAGATTGGGTGAGTGAAGCATACACCGATGTGTATTTGTGATTCGATGGTCTATTTCTGCTCGAAACAAAGGGCTGGCATTTTGCCATCATTTTAAACAAAAAATCATGTCCTTACCAAATTGATACAAATAAACCATCAGATTCAAAAGTCATATGTAAGAAATAAAGTAGAGTATTTTATCATCTTGAACCTCAGTATAGTTGATGGGTTATGAGGCCGATTATTAAAAACCGGACATTCGATGTCCAAGTTTGACATATCTGCAGGTTAGTTAGGATTCATGTCACTTGTTGAAACATCGCAACTGCAGCAGCTATTAATCTGTAAAATATAGGTAGGATACGAAGTATAAGGATATTTTTTCAAGGTAATATTTATCTTTCGGATGACAAAATAAATCGTGATTAGTGATTACATAGCACGTAATTGCACTCGATACGTACCAAAGACAGACAGTGTGACCGTATCTGATGGGTATGGATACCGTGACGCTGCAGTTCTCGCAACACATTTCACAACTTGAACGTGTCTGGTCCCATTAGGAGTAAACGTCCAAGTTGCCGTCGTATTGACCAAATTCTCGTCATCTACATCGGATGGGTAGGAGGTGTTGTGCAAGGTCTCGTTGAGGTACCACTCTATGATTGGAGCTGGTCTGGTGTCCAATACCTCACACACAAAAGTAAGCGGTATACCGTACAAGACGTCTGCGGTCGGTCCGAACATGGTACCATTAAAGTCGAAGAGTGTAATGGAAGACGATGTCGGCAGTACTAACCAAAGAAAAAATGTTCAGGATGAAAGTGTCAATCGCATACAACATTTATCAGCTCCAAATCAAGGTCTGGTTTTGTAGGCCTACATGCTGTTTTTACATGAAATATTTTCTTTTGTTTTTCTTTACAGGGTGTTTTAAGTTACAGGGTGTTTTCGTTACAGAGTTTTGTTTTTCGTTACAGAGTTTGAAAAGGTAGAATTGTTTTTTAATACGGTTCAGACTTCAAATAGTATACACCTCTCAAGGTTGTAATCCAAACCAGATGTTATAGAATATTGCGCATTGTAACTCTAATCAACATGTATAGCTATCCAATGTATTAGAAAGTGAAAATGTCCGGTGGTGGGCCTACATGCTGTGTTTTTTTTTACATGAAATAGTTTCTTTTGTTTTTCGTTAAAGGGTGCCGTGGATTTCGGACTTGTGGGACTGAATTGAAAACATTGTAAATCGGGTTCGTGGGTTCAATCCCAGCAAGGCTGAGGTAAATGTGCGTATTGCAAGCTACGCCTCCACTGCCAAATGTTAATCGTCTGTGTCAAAAATAATAGCATCAAGCTATTGACAGGAATGCTTTTAAAGTCCTGGTGGTATGAGTCATAGGATATAACGCCATGAACAAAACAGTTGACTAATCTGTGTTTTAATTTTGATTTATGCTGTTTCTTCATTGCGTTTACTATTGGAACTACCTGCCAAGTATTGTACAGTAAGTCGTCATCATAGGTTCGTGCAGTCAACCTGAGAGTCGGTCTCAATACTTACCTTGAACATCGAGGTAAATAGTCACCTCGACGCCAGAATGACCATCGTGGCTTGACGCGTGACACTTCAGCGATTCCCCTTGCATGGACCAGGACACTGTCAATGTTGCGTAGCTGGTACTGGTGGTTAAAAAGGTAGACTTCTTCTGGTGAGTGGTCGTGTCCTGTGGTATCACCTGACTCCCCAGCGTCCAAACGAAAGATGCCCCCGGGTCAATGTCTGGTACCACGCATTTGAACTGATGGTAAGTCCCGTTTGCAAGGTAGGCCGTGTCACCACTTAAGTAGAGTCCGTTGAAGTCGGACAGATTCATGGTAGTTGGGAGTACTGTACAAACAAATAAAACAGTGGTACGTTTACGTTGTGATCAGTACACAACAAAACATGTCGGGTCAGACAACATTCAAGGTTTTTGTTTCTGGACAAAACTTCATTTGTATGAGTCAGCGTCATATATGATAAATTTAGATTTTAGAGTTTCCAATACTCAAACAGTTTGGATCGATCTAGTAGTAGAAGAAACTTCAAGATTTGTTTAAAGGAAATTTTAGTTTCCGGATCCCCTGAAATGTTCATAATTCTTCTATATTCCTGGGGGAAAAACAAGCCATACAAGGATGTAAATTTAAGATATCGGAATGGAGGATTATTATTATTGTCCTTTTACCAAGACTGCTTGTGGTGATGTCATCGATAGCAATATCTCCCTGATAGTTGCTTCCCCGTATGGCTTCAATGGCTACTCTGAAACTCCAAGTGATATGTGTTATATTTGTCTCAGCTTGGAGCCACGTTGATCCGTTGGTCTGCTCACCAGTCTTCGTGAAGAGAAGGCTTCCGTCATCCAGCGTTCCGTTAGCCGGGAACTGGTAGACGTTAAGGGTTCCTTTCAACGTCGGGCACATTTAAGGAGAAAGCATGTTGAGTTGTTGAGTATAAATTTATAAAAAATGAAAGTAAATTGAAGAGGGAGCAGCCCAAATGTCGTTCAACAAAATTTACTCCATAATAGAGTTCACATTTCAAACCACCTAAAATTGATATCATGAACAGCGCCACTCTATGTGTCAACCCTCTCTCCTGTTTTTTTTATCCAAAGTGCGAAGAGAAGCAGACACTAGCTCTCATTGTGCTTATCACGCCCTTATACCGAAGAACAACACATCATGATCCAGAGAATAATTCAAGAACACTTTCCCTTCAAAAAAGAATTGTTGGTGAACATACCAGTTGTGCTTCCGTGCATGTTGTACCAGAAGTTGATAAACCACGTTAGGCCAGGAAAGTCTGGATTGTACTCGAACGTGCCGCTTAGAAGTACAGCATTATCCCCGGCACTGCGTGGACTACTTGCTTCAAAGTAGCAGTAATGACCGGTGCTGTCTAGTATAAAAAAAATTTAAAAAGAGAAAAGAAACTGTTATTTACCGTCGAAAATGTGTAAGCAAATGATGCGTGCAAGCAATAATCGAAACCAGGAGTGGCCTCAATTTGGTAGGTTTTTAATGCAATGACATCCAAAATTCTTTGGACATGAACATTCCTTTAAAATGGGGAAATCAACGGTCAGCTGAGTGTGACTGGTTGAAAATACAAGACTCATCACATCGGCTGTTTTCATACACATTTCACCTTTCCTCTCTTTCTGTCCTGCATGGTTTATTATGGGGCAGCTTTTTAGATTCTGAATTAATATCCTATACATAGGTGTTAAACGTTGCTTGGACATTATGTTTACTCAATCAACTCTGAATGTTTAAAAGTGTGTCTGACTCTGTAGTTACTTATCATCGGGGCAACTTACTAGCATTAGTCCGGTCGAAATCTGGGCCAGTCCCGTCGGATTCTGTCGGTCCCTGCTGTCGACACCTCCAGTCAGTGTCGTCTTCAGTAGACTGGTTCCATCCACATGTATTGTTCTCGAAGTTGCAGTCAGCACATGGAGCTGAAAATAAGAATTGAAAAATGATTGTTTAAACTAATTCCATTGGTTCTAGCTTGGCGAGGTCGTTTTTCACTACTACATACTGCTTTCAATGTCGCCGAATCGGCTCTTTTGTTGCTGCTCTAGTCAGAGCTGCTGTCATTGATAGTAATTGTGTTGTTCTGTACGACACTTTGCGTGTGATTGTTGCTTCGGTTTAATTTCTATTGAAGTTGTAATTACTGACTACTGGTGTTCCTGTTGCTGATGTCTTGTTTTATGATGCTGCTTTTGCGTTCTCGTTGTTAACTGTTGCTGCTAGGCTGCTTGTTTTTGAAATTATTTATCAACGTTTGTAAACCCACGCGAACGTCATGATTATTTAATGGAAGCTACAGGTGTATATGTGTCTAAAAACTTCTCACAAAGCGTCTACAAAGACGTGACGTACCTCTAGCTTGAACGTCGTCTATGGCGATATCACCTCTAGCATAATAATAATACTGTTGATGGATTGCTTCAAATGCTATGCGGAAGTCGGCGGTTACATCCGGAATATACAGCTCAGCTTCAAGCCAGGTAGTGGAGTTAGTTTGCTGGCCCCGTCTTGTGAAGATCACCTCACCGTCACTTAGCACCCCGCTGACGGGTATCTTGTAGACGTTAAGTGTACCTAAAGAATAGAAATGATCCGACAACTTATTTGCTCAGATCTTCAGCCTGTAACCTCGGGCGTGATTCCCTTAATGTATTACTTGACGAGCAAATCACCAGCAGGAAATTCCCTATCATTAACGCATATGCCAAATTAATTTTTATTCTTTATGATGTTCCACCAAAACAACTTCTATTGCTCATATTCATCAACTATTATGGATGTTTCTGCAATTGTTTGTCTATCTTCATGGTTTTGTTAAACTGTATTACAAAGGTTTGAAATTGTTGAAAAAATACTTCAGAAGCCTCGTCCTCAGTTGTGGTGCAAGGGGCCCTCTTATTCTCCAAACACATTTATCAACAAATAGATTAATGATTATTTTTTTTGTCGCGGTTAAGATTCATAAAATGTGGACACATTTTTTGGCCAATGAAAGCATTATTAACATCGGTACTTAAGACGAAAAAAAAAACATGCCACACATGCATTTATACAGCCGTAGATAGTGTTCAACAAACGTCTTTGTAAATTTGTTATACATTTGTTATACACACCCATGCGGTTTGATACATTTCTCACTCATAAAAATGACTTCACTTCTAATAACTTGATCTAGTGGCTCAGTTCCGTATCATTGACATAGGTACGCGCGCGTGTTCACAGGCTTAAGATTTTCTGGAATGCCACCCAAAAATATTTCCTCCCCCCCCCCCCCCGTTTTAGAGTCTCGTGCCGCCACTGAACGTGCCTTTGTGATAGGTTTCTTTCGTTCGTGGTTATTCTAAATTAAGTTATGTTATTTCGTGTTGGTATACGAGATCTCGCATTACATGTAATTTTGTGTAAGTTCATAGCGTGTACGTACCAATGTGGCTCCCGTACATGTTGTACCAAAAGCTGAAGCACCATGTATTCCATGAGCTATCGTGTCGAACAACAGGACTCAAAAGCACAACATTGTTGCCACCATAACCGCTATTGCTGACCTCATAGTAGTAGTAAAACCCGCTGGAATCTAAAGGAAAAACACGAAGTTAATTCCTATTGGTCTGAGTAAAACTATAATCCTATTAAAGAATTAGCCGGCAAGCCATTTTGTTTTAAATAAAAGTCAAAACGCTCTAACAAGGTACACTTTAGAGTCCTTCATTTCAAACTGATGTGCAGGGCACTACGGTATTTTTTTCTATCAGGCCCAACACGAAGTGCTCCTTAAAGTTAGTAGGATATTTTGCTTGCTGTGCTTTCTTTTTTGTTTTCTTTTTTGAAGCAACGAAAGTGTTCAAATCTTCAGTAGGAACTAGGAAGCATAATAACTAATCTGTTAAAGTTTCAGTAAAGTGGATACAACGCATTTTGAGCAAGCAGATACTGAATCCGTTGCTGGCGTTAAAAGTGTGCCCACGGGAAGCCTTTTTTGAAACCACCTTCACTGCCAGTTTTCTTCCAAAGAATACAATATTAGGCGGAACAATTTTACAGGGTACTTAATACCAGTCTTTTATTAATTCTGAGTAAAGTGTCTGTCATGAAAGCTGAAGGTACTCTTTCGTGTAATTGCAAACGTTCCTACGGGGCTTTAAGATCATCCCAGCGCCCTTGAATACACACACCTCTTTGAATAAAATAAAATTGTTTACGACTCTGGGTAGGTAATGTTAGCTTTAATATTTTATCAGATTTAATTTTTCTGACAATACCAAAATAACAACCGTCATTTCGATAATTTAATTGAAACTCACCGCCTATAGTTCTGTCAAATTGAGGCCCAGTACGGGACGTGGATGTAGGTCCTTGACGTCGAGTCCAGTCTGTGTAGTCATCCGATGACTGCGACCAACCGCAGAGTCCCTCTTCGAATGTGCAACTGAACATAAAAAAGTCCTCTAAAAAAAAAAAAAAAAAACTCTATTGAATTTTTTTTCTTAATAAACAAATTAAAATGTTGAACCTTGCCTTATTTGTGTATTTCAAAGATAAGTAGTAATGTGAGGTCAATCAATAAAACGCCAATAAAAAAACGTTTCGCTTTTTTTGAGTTACAAACGCAGAGTGATCGGATGGAGTATTTCATTGGACATTGTCCAGTAAGGTTGTAATATCTTTATATCAGAACAAAAAAGTCAGCCTTTTCTTGTGAAACCATTTGCTTTCATTTGAAAAAAAAAGGACTGATAAATTTCAGAATAAATTATATTTACACCTACACCTTATTTCCGGTTTGATGATATCATCAGTTACATTGTAAACACTGAATGCATGTTCTACATAAAATAAGAAAAACTTCTGAAATATGAATATTATAATAGTGGACTTTGAAGTGAATGTATTAATAACGCCTAACTTCTAGTTTGATGACGTCACATCATTTGGAAGCCCAATGTCAACATTGTACTGAATAATGATTATTTGGACTACGAAAATTGACACGCATCAAATGACGGATTTGAATTTCAAAGATTTTTTTTTTTGATGATCACTTTCAAATTCTTCCTACAATAACTTTCCGATCTGATGATGTTATGATTCTCAGAAACCTGGCAAAGTCACTTTCGGTTGTCGAAAGAATATCTAAGGGCCATTTGATAACATTGTTGAATTTTTAATTCAAGCAAGTAACTGCAAGTTGAACTTTATTGTATTTACACCTAGAGGGCACCTTTTCTGGTAAAGACGTCATCATGCTTTAAGTTGTGTTAACCATTCCTCACTTTGTTAACCAAAGTATGGT